TCGTTTGTCTTGTCCTGGGGTAATGTGTGTGTGTGTGTGTGTGTACATGCATGTGTATATATGTATGTATTTATGTGCATTCATACATAAACACATACTTATGTGTGTGTGTATAATCATGTACAGGCTCACACACTTGCACACACATGTTATGTGGTATTATTCCTTAAAGTATCAGTAAAGATCGAAATAGAAATGGTTTTATGAGCTTTTTTCCCCTATGTTTTCCTTTGGACTTTTAACAATTATCATGTGGCTTTGGTTCCACACTTTTTGTTTGACAACATTTGTTGAAGGTTGCCATTGTTCATTCACGAATTTGGCTTTCATGTAGGTGTCTTCTAGGTTTTGATGTGTAATTCCTGTGATCATAATCAATTCCCAGCTCCTTTGTTTTTTTTTCTTGGTTATTTTGTTACTTCATGATGTCAAGGTTGTGATTTGAGCCCCTCCTAATTGCAGACGAATACAAGTGTTGCAACTTCTTTAGGGACATATTTCCTGCCCCAAATCTCATTGATCTTTTTGGACATGTTGAATGTGTACAGGTATGTTTTGTTAACTGATTAGTTTTTATATTCTGAAGCCCTCATAACAAAATTGATACTTAGCAATAAGTAGTTTGATTAGATTCTTTATTACTTGAAACGCTAAATCCTTTTTTTTTTTTCTTTCTGAAACAGAATGTACAGTGAGCTTATTTCAAAAAGTATTGCAGAAGGGGGACCTTTCGCATCTAGAACATCCTATGTGAAACTTCTACGGTAAGATTATTCAGAGGATACTATTGGTCTTGTACATTAGATTATTATTTAGTCCCTTTTTTTATGCATGTTCTTCTTGATGCAGTTCGGTCAAGAGGGAGACACTTAAGCTGATTGAGACATTCTTGGATAAGGCTGAAGATCAACGACAAATTGGAAAACAATTTGTGCCACCAATGATGGATCCTGTTCTGGGAGATTATGCTAGGAATGTTCCTGATGCGAGGGAATCCGAGGTTTTGTCACTTTTTGCCACAATTATAAACAAGTATGCTTCTGTCTTTTAATTGTTGTTTCCTTTATTTTATTGATTGGTGTATGGTGCTTTGACTTTTAAATTCTACATGTATATGTTCTGTTACTTCCTGAGGGTAGTGTGTGATGATTACTTGCTAATTTAATTATGAATAGCACGTGTGATTCGATTATCTCTCCCTTTCTTCCAGATATAAAGCTACAATGATTGAAGATGTACCTCGCATATTTGAAGCTGTTTTTCAGTGCACACTAGAGGTAATTGTGTAGGATATTCAGCTATGACGTAAATGCGCTAGTTTACCATTACTCTCTGATTGTGAACCCTCATGTTTGATATCCAGTCTGCCACCCATTATACTCTTTATTTTTAGGGTCCCCTTTTTCTCATGTAGTAGGAGAATTCTTTCTCCTATTATAGACACAAGATGTGGTGGGCCCCACCACCCATTAAAAAAAAATTGTTGCACATAATTCGAGGTCTCACTAGCAGAAAAAAGAATTCTCCTGCAACATGAGAATTCTTTTCCCCTAATTTTTTAATATTTTAACTTCTGCAATAAAAATTTATGGTCTTGTTATTTTTTGGTCAACAGTGTGATTTATTGTTACTTGAGATGTAAATTTGTAACAATTGTTCTGAGATGCATAATTTAGAAGTTCTGCTAATGGTGCATCATACAAGTTGTAATTTTTAATAACTGTGATGACAAATGATTATTGGGGTATCTCTGTAGGTAAAAATATCAACTTTACTTTTTATTGTTTCTCAGATGATTACAAAAAATTTTGAAGACTACCCTGAGCATCGGCTCAAGTTCTTCTCTCTACTCCGTGCCATAGCTACTCATTGTTTTCCTGCTTTAATCTGCTTATCAAGTCAGGTTGTGCTTCTTGCTCCTGTTGCCACAATAAATCAATGTCATGTTACTTTATTTGGCTTAATCTGATATTGTGTATGATTGCATTGTCAAAATTTGCAATCTCTGTAGTCTGTGCCTGAGGTTATTTATGATCTGTTTCAGCAACTGAAGCTTGTTATGGATTCAATCACATGGGCATTTCGGCATACGGAAAGGAATATTGCTGAAACTGGGCTGAACCTGTTGTTGGAGATGCTGAAGAAGTTTCAGGTGTGGTGTTTATATAATGTTCTGTTTATAACTCACTCCTAACCTTCGAAGGTTATTTCAGCATACTTAGTTTTCCTTGATTATTGCATATAGGTTTTCCTTTTTTGGAGGATTTCTTAGCCTCCCTCTAGTTGCACTTTCCTTCTTATCTCTATAGTAAAATTTACTTTTCTATCCACAACAAACTTCATGTTGCCCGTCGGGTTCTTACTGTTCTGGTGTATATCTTTGTTCTTTTAATTTTGGCTGATTATCTGTATTTATAACAGGGCTCAGAGTTCTGTAATCAGTTTTATCGGACATATTTTTTGACAATTGAACAAGAGATATTTGCAGTCTTGACGGACACTTTTCATAAGCCAGGGTTCAAATTACATGTCTTGGTGCTGCAGCATTTGTTCTGTCTGGTATAATGTCATAGTCATATGAGCTTTATTTTTGTTTTTTGTTTTACTAGCTAGTGAGAAATAGCAAAAATAATGTGTTAATATTTTTCAGCTGGAAACTGGTGCCCTAACTGAGCCTCTCTGGGATGTTGCTACAAATCCGTATTCATACTCTAGTAATGCAGTGTTTGTACGTGAATTTACCATAAAACTTTTAAGCACTTCTTTTCCCAATATGACAGCAGCAGAGGTAATTGAAGAAAAATGAATAATATTTGACGCCCCTCCCTTGCCAGAACAAATGACTAATTTCAAGAATTTTGCAGGTTACCCAATTTGTTAATGGACTCTTTGAGTCCACAAATGATCTCTCCACATTTAAAACTCGTATACGGGATTTTCTTATACAGTCAAAAGAATTTTCAGCTCAGGTAATGCTTTATGTAGTATTGCTACTTGCATTTTCTTGTACTATAGTCTGGGGCTTTCTTTGAACCGGTACAACAATTGGGGAAGTTTGTACTTGTGCGCCTAGAATGTTAACCAGTGCATTTTGCTATCTCGGTTCGTGTAAAGAACTGTCTGGGCAACATTTTGCAAGCTCATTGGCAAAATTGTTGACATTTTTTATTTGCTTCATGTTCACTCCTTGAATTGTTTATTTGACTTGCTCCTCTGCCCACGTCAATGAAATTCAGTACAAATCTGCGGTTTGTCAATTGCTCTCTTTACTGCAGGATAACAAAGATCTCTATGCTGAAGAGGCTGCAGCTCAGAGAGAGAGAGAACGACAAAGGATGCTTTCTATTCCAGGCCTTATTGCCCCGAGTGAGTTGCAAGACGAAATGGTGGACTCATAGATAGGCTAGGCTAGGACAGCATTTGAAGTTGTTTCACAGGCTCCTTGATTAAATCAATTACCAGATACTTTGAGAACAGATGCAGCTTTTTCCTCGGAGGTTTAATTTTTCCTCTCTTCCCAATATTTTTATGTTGGGACTGGTTTGGCAAGGGTTCCTAATTTCAGAGTTTTGACTGACGGGGGGGATAGTTGAGTGTAGATTATTCAGTTACTAATTGAGGATGATAAATATCGAAGAGTCATTTGTAAGGGATTCATGAAGGCATCTTTATATAGAATCACAGGCTGCAAGGCTCATTCCGAATATCGATGACTCCTTAGGTGTGACCTCCTAATCTCTGGCGGTTTGTGCAGAAAACCCTTGTGGTTTGATATTTTGTATTTTTTTTTTCCTTCATTTAACTTTAGGGATATTGATGTACCATGATTGCACTTAATATATGGTTTCATTTATTTATTGTGTTATAGCCCGCGCCACAATCTCCTAATATGGAGAAAAGGTATTATTTTATATTCCCAGTTTCTTGCTTTCTAGTTTCAAATCTCTAGCAATTTTTTCAGAACATGTTGAAAGCAACGGGAAAATCAAGTATGAGAAAGAGAATCAACAAATCAGATTAGTATATAACAAATGTGAATTCAGAAAGACATCGCGTGATTGATAAAGGCTCGTCTAAATGAATTATAAAATTGTATTTTTTTTTTTTAATTTTATTAGTTAAGGTTATTATATATGTTAAATTAAATTAAAGTTATTTTTTTTTTCACTTGTTTATTTTAAAAGTCTTGTTCCGAGTGTGTAAGTGGAGCTTTCAAGGATATTTTCTATCTTCGGTTTACGTTGTTAATATATTGTCGAGTTAGTAAAAATAGGATTGTTAAATCAGGCATAAAGAAAAATATGTATAGTCTCTGCCTAGGAAAATTACTGAAATGGGTGGGTTCAGGAGTGGATTTTGTAATCATGTTTTTGGATAGAAAGATAATTTGCTTCAAAATAGCTCTCAGTCAATTTTAAGAATTCATGAACATCTGTGGAGGCATCAGTGTAGCAGTGGTTGGTAACGCTGAGTTTGTTTATTTTTAATTTATTAATTATACGGTGATTTCAATCTATTAAATTAAAGTTTTGTTTTTTTCTGTAAATAAATTATTTATATTAAGCACAAAATGACGTTATTTTGAGATGAAAATTAAAGTATTTTTATAATTATAATTTATTTCAGGGTTATAACAATCTTTCTCGCTGTAATATTTTAATCCAAAACATCATTTTGGAAGCGAATGTAAATGTGTCATTTTGAAAGATGTAAAGTTGTGTCATTTTAAATGAGAGAAAGAGATAGATTATGAGAGAGAGCGGACAAAAAAAATGTGAGTCTCATTTCTTTGTGAGAATAAAATGACATAAATTGTATCATTTAAAACGAGAAACACTTTTCCTGTTAAATAATCTATTAACTCCTTGAATTATTTAAAAAGTGAACATAAATGCCTTGTTGCTAACATATATTAATGATTTTTTATTTTTAAAGTAATTAAAAGAAAGAAAGGTGAATATTGAATTCTATTTTTACTTGTATTTAATAGTTGAGAAATTGTTTTCCCAAATCCAACGCAAGGGGGAAGGTAGGTAGGAAGGAAAAGAAAGCCATTGAAATCCTTTCCCTTTGAATTCCAAGGTTCATAATCTGTGTTGTGATTACAAATCGCAAAATCGAAAATCGTTTTGATTTGATTTGATCGCATAGTCATCATGGGTCAAGCTTTTCGGAAGCTTTTCGATTCCTTCTTCGGCAATACTGAGATGCGGGTACCCCCTTTCTTCTTTCTCCATTTCTATTCTTCATTTCTTTTTGTTGCTTTTAATACACTTTTCCCTAATAATAATGATGATGATAATATAATAAATCTCATTTTCCCTTAATAATGCTGATTTTCTTGTATTTGTGTGATTATTTATTAACTTGTACTTACGATGATAGAGTTTAATAATCCATATCATTTTTCTGTTTTAATTCTCTCATTTTAATTTATTATAACTTGCCATCTCAAATTGTTAACATAGTTTGCTTTGCAATCAGCAATTATCATTATTATTTTTTATTTTTTATTTTTTATTTTTCTATTGATCTGGTTCAGGTTGTCATGCTTGGTCTTGATGCTGCTGGCAAAACAACTATACTCTACAAGCTTCACATTGGAGAAGTTTTATCTACTGTTCCTACAATTGGTGAGTTTTATTCTATAAGCTCATCATTAAATTAATTGATTTCTTTGTTAAATTTTAAACAGAATTCATGTTCTGGTGGATGCAAACATGTAACACGTTTCAGTGTAGCAAAAGAAAAAATAGAATTGGAAATAATCTATATGATGTTTGAGGGCTTATAAATTTGTATTTCTTTGCAGGTTTCAATGTGGAGAAGGTTCAGTATAAGAATGTTATTTTCACGGTTTGGGATGTTGGAGGGCAAGAGAAATTAAGGGCACTTTGGAGGCACTATTTTAGCAACACGGATGGTTTGGTAAGAATTAATTTCCCTGATTTTTTGCTTCTATGAAAACCCAACTTGTGCTGTTTGGTTACAAGAAGTCATCTATCCAAATCCAATAGGGCTTAGAAGACATGATACGGGTCTAAAGTAGCCGAGTAAATACTTATTTGCTCATTTATGCAGATATATGTTGTGGATAGTCTGGACCGCGAGAGAATCGGGAAAGCAAAGCAGGAATTTCAGGTGATTATATAAAAACTTACATACACTCACACCTCATGTTATTTCAAACAAACTTTGAATAGATCTATGGATTACTTGCAGACAATCATAAATGACCCATTTATGCTCAACAGTATCATCTTGGTGTTAGCCAACAAACAGGACCTGGTATGTCTTTGTTATTTCTTGATCCGTGTTCTTTTGGCTGAATGACCTGATATTTAAGGCTATATTTATGAATAAAGATGAAATTAGAACCAAAGCATGTGAATTGGTTGACATTGTTTACTGAATATGCTAAAAGAGTTAGGAGAATGTGCTATAATTAGTGCATATACCAATACCAACATTGCAAGTAAGGTAGATTTTATATTACCAAAACCATTGAAATATTTAAAATAATTGGAAAATAGTAAAGAAGATTTAGGATTTTTTCCCCTGCCATTAGGCCACAGTCCAAGGAATCAATTGTGGTAGAAAAAAATATTCATTGTTTACATGCAAATCTTAGTCAACAACCTTCACTATTTTTGTATTAACCATCATTGTTATGATGCATGACACATCCAACAGATTGTGTGTGTGTGTGCAGACATGCTTAATTATCTCTCTGATTAGCTGTTATGTTGGTTGGATCATATGAGAAATATGAACCAACTTGTGGGGAAAGCTAGACCAATTTATGCCTACAGAATAGATAAAATAAAGCATTTGCTGAGTGAAACTTGTTCCCTTCATAGGTCCAACCGAGCTACATAGGCATATGATGATATGATATGATAGTAAAGCATTATTGTTAATTTAGAAAAAACCTTGCGTGGAGGGTTGGCTCTTACAAACAATTTTCTATAATACATTCCAAAAGTTATTAGAATTTATATGTGGTGCCAAACTAATTAACCAAGATATTTGGTACAGAGGGTTAACCCTTTGTAGATTTTTGTTTTTCATCTCTGTTTTCATAATTCCTATTTTGTATATGGCTCACCAGCTAATACCCCTACTCCATGTCCCATTCCATTGTTGTAACATTCTGAGTCACTTTTGATCTTGCAAGTTGCAACTATATATATATATAGGGATTTACATTTCTGCAACGACTGTACGTGCAGCAGTCAAATACTTCCCATATATATACATGAAAGCATTAAATGTGAGGAATCATAATCATACAAAAGATGAAAACATTAAATGTGGGGAATCATAACTATACACCTGTCATTGCTGTACATAAAGCGGCTGTAGAAATGATTTTACCATATATATATATATATTGACTTTGTTTCTGCTGTCTAATTTGGAAAGAACAAAACTTACTTTAGAATATTCCAATCTCAAGTGTAATTTTATCAATACTCAAGGGAAGTTAGTGTAGTTTCTAAAAAATTTTAAAATTCAAAGCACACGTGAAAAAAAAATTTCAACAAAAATATGTGTGCTTGAACAAAAATCTATTTCTATATTCTCCTTAACATTTTATATTCATAAATTTTTTCTTGTTTGTCCATCACCCTTCTTGACCATAATTAAAAAGTTCAGATACCGGGGCAACTTTTTGATTTTTGGTTTTTCACTTTTTGGCGGGATTTGTATTTCTTTTATTACACATTCTAATTAAATTCTGGTACGTATACCATTTGAATTCTGCATGTTATCCTCCATAAAAGCATGGTTGCATAGTTTCGTTTCTTCACATGCGCAGTTTCAACTGTGGAACTTCTCAATCATTCAAAAGTAACCTGCACTTCGATTAGATTATCAATATCCTGTAATACTAGCAGACTGTTCCTCTTCAACAGACTCCAACCAATTTAAAGAGTTTTGCCTTATTCTCAAGTCTCGTTATAATTGTGAATTTTCTCCCTTTCTGTTCCAGAAAGGAGCAATGACGCCAAGGGAAGTATGTGAAGGATTAGGTCTCTTTGATCTCAAGAATAGAGCATGGCAGATACAAGGCACTTGTGCGCTTAGAGGAGATGGCCTTTACGAGGGCTTGGACTGGCTGTCCTCAACTCTGAAGGAGAGAAAAGCTGCTGGATACTCTTCAATAGGACTAGGAACTTCATCCTTCTAATTTTCCAGGTTTGAACTATCATTTCCTTTTAATCATATGATTACCTTCCTGTTTATCATTACATTACATTATATGTGTATTCTCCACTTCAGGTCTTTTGGCCTTGGGATTTGGCGATTGATGAATGTATAGTGTGTGGCCAGTTCTAAACTGCTGTGATTGGTAATCAAATTTTTGGTTTACATCTGAAGCTGATGAAGTATATAGTTGCTTCGTGTTTCAGGGTACTAAAGATATGTTACTTGCTCCACTTAAAGATGTTTGTGCATGACGAATGATTAACTAAATTCTGTTGCCATATTGGTATCCCTCATTAAGGTCATGGATGCTGGATCATTTGTTCATTCTCTCTCGGTTTCCCCCTTCCTACTCTGGTATATCTGGTTGGCTGTGCATTTGGTGCCGAGATTAATGAAAATAATGATTCTGACAAATACATTGGGTGCTTGTCATGATTTTCTTTTCGGTAACTTCTTATTTTGATTCAATTTAGTTGGGTGGTTGCAATTATTTCCCTTTCCATTTGCTTAGAATAATATGCCTGTCTCTTCTATTGGAATTTTTTTTTTTTTTTTTTTTTTTTTTTGCATATTAGGATATCGTTGTACGAGTACGTTTAGCTAAATCTCTACTTTCTTGAGCCACACGTGTTGTAGATTTTGAAATTATCAAATGGATTGACACATAGGAGGAGGGAGTTCAACTTTCAAATACAGAATAAACAAACATATTGTTCCCAATATTTGACCCTAAGATAAGAATACAATACGGGATTAATATAAGCTAGATTATTGCCATCATGTATTAAGGAATAGACGTCTTAGTAGTTGCATGCTTCCTAGACCGTAGACATATAATGTTAAAAGATGCATTTAACTCCGAGGTAACACACTTTAATCTAAATGATGGACCATTTGATTTCGATATTTTCCCCCGGATATCACGTAAGCTTGAATGTTAGAAATCACGTAAGCTTGATTGTCGGTGATGATTTGTCAGAGCAAGCGAAAATAATTACACGACCAATTCTTGTCTAAATACAGAACCATAAGCTCATGCTGAAAGTTTTATACCTAATGACGCTTAGAGAAGTTTACAAATTCTAAATAAACTTGTTAGTAGAATAAAAGGCTTCTGGTACCGAGCAACGATCAAAATCACGAGTTATATATAGTATAGGAAAGAAAATGAAAATGAAGAAATACAAGAAAATATAGAAAAATGAATAGAAGAAATTAATAATCACTATATTTAAGAGACAATAAAATTGAGCGAGGAGCAAATATGAAATTTAAAGGCAATAGTACTGAAACTAAAAAAAGACGAGAAATTTTAGCAAAGATCTCTTAAATCTTGGTGGAAAAGGTGAAAGTAATGATAATAATTGGATTTTTAGATCCTAAAAATGTTCGAGAAATTTTGGTTTATTGTACAAATAACATACAGTAACTAGGGAAAAGGAAAAAAATGTTGGAAAAAGAAAAGATTGAGTGGAAAAGATGGGAAAAAAATATAATTCATGTGGACATGGAAGTAAAAGACGAATAGCATAGATTTAAAATAAAAACTTAAACCTGAGTTTATGTTCTACCCAAATTAAAACTATACACAAAGGGTATTTTCCCTAGTAGGAGACGTTACATTGCTTTTGTAGAATGTACCGAAGAAACTGCGCAGAGCCTTATTACATTTCCAGCAAGTGTTTACAAGAATATGAATCTTTGACTCGATTCCATGCTCCATGGTAGCTGTACAGTCTCATGCTAAATAAATACAGGAATAAGAATGTTCACTCAATCCAATCATGAGTTATTTGCTAGTATTTTATCAATAATGAAAAAATCACTATCCAAACACCCAAGAAGATACTACATAACTCTCTCTGTTGTGAATACATAAAATTACAACATTACAGTCTAGAATTTGCAGGGTGGGTTCACCAACAACCAGTGTGATATGAACAAAAGCATAAAATCACCATCTTTCATCCCCTCTCCAATTATTTTTCTCTTTTGGTCCTGTAGGACCTTCCTCACCATACAACTCCACTGGAAACTTGTTAAATAAGTTCTTCATTGAATATTGAAGCATGCGAGGAAGAGCATTGATTATCCTATCCAGCTCAGTTTTTGAATCATAAACAATTTTGGGGCCCCACTCTCTCATATACTGCAACCATTGAGGTTCAGTGACAGCATTTTCAAGATACTCAGCTGCAACAAGCTCGTAGTGAATACTTGAATCCACATACAAATTACTACAAGCAGCATCATTCCTAATGCCAAGCCCAAGTTTTGAAGACCCTTGGATATAGGTCCCAGGATGAGGGTAACTTGCATGTCCACTTTTTGATGAGTAAACAATACATTTATTGCCATCAATATAATCCAAGTCATAGGCATCCAACCATTCACCACCACTGTGCTGAGAGAAGTATATACTATAGAGCTCTCCAGTGAAGTTACATATACGAAGTGTAAAATGCTCCCAGTCACCAACATGCTCTCCAATCTTGCTCAATGGTATATTCTTAATTCCAACTTTCAGAGTAGCTGGCCCATTGAAGGGGCAAAAAACCCACATTGCAATGTCTGTAAAAGTTCCACCAAGAGCTGGCTTCACATGAACATAAAGCCTTGCACTTTTCAAGTCCCCATGTTTGAGAAAATCCCTTTGATCATCACTTGGCAAGTCTATCCAAAACTTTCCATCATTTGTTCCCCCACCTGGTAGGTTTGAGCCAGTCTCATCAATTCCCTCTCCTTTAGACATGTCCTTTCTGTACAACAGGGCTCCATTGTTGAAAAACCAAGGCACAGAAGATGGCAAGTAAACTTCCTCAGGATGAAAGAAAACAGTAGGGCCATAATGATTAATAAGTGCATGTATTTGTTGCAGGTTTGGCATTGCTGGCAGCACAGCATTTAGATTCTTCAAGCATGCAATGGGAACCTCTTTTCCCATGTTCCAGCTACTAGTGAAGAAAAATGTCCCAACAGAAACTCCTTTCCCCAGCATGCCACGGTCACAAGGTCTCAAGCTCCACACCTGAAATGAAAACTCTGGAATTCTAGAATCAGCAGCAAGTATTAGGCGGTAAGGTTCACATTTATCAGTGAGGTCAGCACGAACACAGCACATTCCATCTAACTCAGGCTTGTCAGGTTTGTTAGTAACCAAGTAGCCACATGCTTTGTAACCTTCAGGAGGCTGGGGTAGCCAAAAGTAACTACATCCACTTGACATTTCCTGACTTTCTGCATTTGGACTCCAAACTAACTTAAAATCAAGGGGATTCCTTAGAGGAGGTAACTTATCATGCTTGTAAATATCAGTAGTTTCGGGCAAGCAAGTTTTTACTTCCCTAGTGACAAGTACAAAACCCCGTAAAGGCTTGTCACTGGGTTGACAATAGTGACCAAGGATATGGAAACTATCAGGTATTCCCACGGGCTTATAGAATGTAACAGCTTTTTTCGTGTCCAGTATAGCATTGTTGCTCCAAATGAATTCAAACCTAGTAACCTTGAAAACTTCTATTTCACCAAGATTTACAAGTCCGGAAGCAAAACCTTGTCCTGTAATGAAATATACAGAGTAGATTAGTTTAAAGAGGTAAGTCAATGTTCTTTTGCCAGAATTAAAAAAAAGAAAAGCTAACTTTAAATGTCAGCTACAAAAAGTTCCTCCTATGTGCCATTGATATACTGCAATTTATGCAAATACAACACTTCTTCTCAAATTTGTTCTTGGGTAATATACCTACCAATCTATCATGCTAAAGTTGTAGTTTCACCCGTAAACTCAGTACATACCAAAGAAGAATTCCTAAAAGAATTCAGATTTGACGAATCTTGATTTGTAAATCATACTATTACAAACGGCATTACTGAATGCACTGCATATAATAATGACAACAGATAAAGTTATATTTTTTACTGAAAATCAAGTTTCATCAAACATTTTAACAGCCTATGAAACAGAAACTTGGCATGGGGAAGGGTGCATAAATGATAATCAGGAAAGGAACGAGAATGAGAGAAAATGATTTCATCACCTCTGCACAGAAAGACAATCCATTGGCAAGTCAGCATAAAAGAGACGAGGAATATTTGCATAAAGCATGGAAACAAATAAAAAGCTTAGATGCACACTAGCCCTCAAATGACAATATAACTAGAGAGTAGTAGCAAGTTGCAGGTTAAGAAAGTAATGAAGAAAATTCACAATGCAAAAAAAAAGAAAAAAAGAAAAAGAAAACCCTCTAATTACCAAAAATAGAAAGATGCCCTTGATATGAACCATTGTTACAATGCAGGAACCCGGAAGACCCACTAACAAAAGAAACAAAATTCACAGGGACAATGATCATAATGCACATTCCTATCATCAAAATTTTGTTGATATCAACGAAAGCACATATATAAAATCACAAAAAACATTACCTGGAGGCCATTGAGGGATTGGAGCCGGAAGAGTAAAGGTTTGAGAGTGAGGGGGAAAAGATTGAGCGATTGTATTTGTATTTGTTTTTGTATTCCAAGGAAAGCACATGGAGCCAAGCATCTCCACCAACCGTCGATGCAGAGTTCAGACACTCATTTTGCGATTCTTGTTCATCAGCTTTTCCGAACAAACGTTGTTTTCTCATACGGAATTTACGTTGCATGGTTTTTTTTTCACCCACAAAAAAAAAATAAAAAAATTGCATGGCTCTTACAAACAAAAGGATAGCACGTATATAAATATTAATATTACAATATTTTTTATTTTTTATTTTTTGGTAGGTATATTACAATATTTTAGTTTTGGCTTAAAGCAGGCTTCTCCCTCAGCGCAACAAGTGAGCAAGTTCAATTTTGATCAATTACAATTATGTCTTGGTACTTTAAATCATCATTAAAATAGTTTGATTCTTAAGGTCATTGTAACGTAGTCAAATTCTTTTAATAATAAATCAGTGTGTATGACTTTTTCATCCATATACACTCTTTTTAAATTTGAAACTTGCTTATTTTAATGCTTTGTTTCCTTTATCTCGATTAATATTACGGATCGAAGATGAAAAAAAATACATGATAAGAGAAGACCATCGTTTGTTTTGAAGATTGATCAAATTGGGAAACTTTTTCAATTAATAGAGCCATGGATCGGAGGAAGTAGAGGGAGCAAACAAAAAATAATTGGACGAAACTTCTGCGGGAAGAGTCGTAGAGATGTAAGACGATTAGGTTACGGGATTATATTAAGTTATAGTATCTACATTTGTTAGCAAGAGGTTTTTTTAAGAAGTTATATTAATAGTGATTATTGAGTCCGAGGTGAAGAAAAGAATAAACTGTTTATCTTAACTGCTCTAGCAAAGTTCTGCTCTGCAATTTTCCATTCCGGACCTATCATGTATAAATAACATAATAGATTTAAAATATCGAGTTTCATATTTCTTTACGAATGCTTAATTTGACTAATTTCTGTGTACTTTATTGCCAAAGTGTGTCTTCCCTATAAACTTTATAACATGATTTCGTCCAAAGACTCAAAATGTTGTAGCACACCAGGCTCTAGGTCAGTCTCAAATTCTACCACCCACACAGGGCTCCAATATCTAGCCAGCAAGTTAGTACTAATGCAAGTCAAGCAACTGTTTGACAGAGAATGTGGGTTATGGTCCTTCAAAAAGAAGTCAAGTTGCGCATTTAATCTCTTGCACACCTGCCACCCCCATCTTCAGTAGTCTTTCAACCAAGATGAGACTTCTTTGTACATAATTTCTTCAAATTAAAGAAAGTTTGAGAAGTTGTTCAGTTACCTTGATTTCTTGGGTGAGCGAGAGACCCTTAAGGAAGAACATTTGATAGTGCGAGATGTTGTTACCTGCAGATGCGTAATGATCCCACTCATTGCTGAGAACCAATCAATATAAGAGGTTGCTACTACCATAGTCACTGCAGAGGGAGTGAAGGCAGGATGGCAGAGTTCATGAACAAGTTTGTTAATTTAACTTCAGAGCACAAATTAAAAGCAGATCTACAGTGAGATCTTCAACCTCATGCCACCAATACAAGTATAGCATCCAAGAGATACAAAAACAGAAACCTTGTTCTCATTTTAAGTGCTAAGAAATCCTAGCTCCAAGGATTACTAAACCAGTGATTACAGCACTATGCAACAACCAAGGTCCATGTTGTCTTCGTAGCATTAGGAGCTCGCCAGGAGAAAACACCCGAGCCTATGAGCTAATCAGAGTTTTATGGATTTTAAGATAGACAGTAACCACGACGCTTATACATTATTAGCATTTGGCTCAGAATTTGTTTCTGATGATTTAACGTCCTCAAAAGGTTCCATGTCAATGGTCATATCATCGCCAATATCAGCCTCAGCCATTACTTCATCCTTGTCGGCTACCAGAGGCTCAATGCCATTTTCTGTACTGTGGGATTTCTGCAGCTGCTTTTCACTTGCCTTCTCTTGGTCATCTGGCTCTTGTACTGTAGCTTGGGGGTATGGATCAGTACATATTGTCAACGTAGATGTAACTAACAAGTTCTACAGAGGAAAACACCAGACAGAAGTCAAGCAGAATGTTCAAACAAACTGCCCATAATTCAAGCACCAATCATAAAAATGAAGATTAACCATTTAGAAATACAGGATTTTTACTGTTGTTGAGTCTTAAAATAACAAAATTGAACAGCAGAGCAAATGCCAAATTATCAAGCATACCTTTTCAAGAGCTAAAGCAAGCTTTGAAAGATTTGGATAAATACTTTTTGCGTCCAATAGGATCTGTTCAATGCAATATCAGAATATGTAGCATTATTATATATTATGATGTTAAACTTGATGGATATTGATGCCAGAATACAATAATGCACAACAGACATACCTCACAAAGCCTTTGCAAAGTAAATGGAGGGCCTTCAATGAAACAAGTAATTTCTGCAATCCAGAAAAGCATATAAAAATAATTTAGTGGAGCTTGTACCCCAAAAAAAAAAAATTATTTAGCGGAGCAAGTAAATAATAACAGCTTCAAATAGAGATTATCTTTGCTATTCAGGAGATTGTTACAGGACTAAGAATGAACAGGGCCTGGGTCCCATCTAGGAAATTTGGTGTCCAAAAGCAATGCTCTTACAGCTAAAGGGCTATCACAATTCACAATTCCTAGTGGAGACTACAGGTTGGATATCAGCACAATGATTAATGCAACTCATGCTAATCCTTGGAGTTTTATCTCTCAGGGAGGCAGGGATACTGTTCAAAACTATTGGTTCCTTCAGGTGAGATAATATCCACACAGACATGTAGACCTACTCAAAACTATTGAAAGAATTTAACATCAAGATTTTAAAATAAATGTCATTAAATGTTAACATATAGCTTTCTCTAAGTATATTTTGTCAAAATAAAAGATTCTTTGGAGCAAAGAAAAGCCTTAGTTATTAACTGTTGGTATATATACATCAACTTATTTATATAATATGCATAATTATATATGCAAAAATATATGTATGCTACACACATGCAGCTATGGTCAGTGTTTTGAGAACTGGAACGGACCAGCCAGTCAGTCCAGTTCAACCATGAACTATTCTGGTCAAGTGAGTAGCAAACATGGATCCTAAATTCCTAATATCCTATAGTTTTGAAAGAGAAACTTCAACCACTATACCACATGTGTTCTTGTGTGATAGTATTAGATTATATATTCTTATATTATGGGTGTTGGAATATCTCAAGATTGATATTCCCAAAAGAACTAACATTTTTACAATACTTTCACAAACTTCATATTGATAAAATAATGTTATATTTTTCAATATAGAAATTAAAAAATATTAAATTCTCACAATTTATGTCTATAAAAATTAATAATACTCGTACATTAAATGGTGGTTCTAATATATATGTTCATAGTTAGACCATTGAACCATAAATTAGTCCTTTTCCTGGTTCAGTGACCAGTCTGATTTTTAGAACCTTGGGCTATAGAACTAAAAGGAGGAGGGACAAGAGGGGGGGTTACCTTCATCCAATTTGTTGACCAACTCAGAGTAGGATTCTCCTAATGAAGCATATTGCTGCTCACTTTCCATTTTTGCCTCAGGGTACTCTGACAATAACTACAACAAATATGGAGATAGTGGCAAAAGATTAAAGTTTAGGAACACTATGACATATGAATAACAATTACAATAAACTATTATTTGAACCAAAACCAAGTATAAAAACCTACATGCTAACATACATCTAAGAACCAACACAATATACATAAGAATGCATGCTAGCATACCTCCCCATACCTGCTTCAGCTGAAACGATAACATACTCTTTAACTTATCCCAGTCATGCCTGTTATTCAAAAAATTCACCACATTAGCATTTAAAATGTGATCCATCTCCAAGTCAACTATCATTAGATTTAGCCATAGTAGTCAAACCTAGATAGTACATGGAGCGGCCAACCCCAAAAACAGTTATAGTGGTGTAGTGGATCGTGGAGCAGCCCATATACCAAAGATATCGGGTAAAATGCAAATAATTTATTGATGAAACTAATTGCATTTGAAATTGGAAGTGAATTAGAGATGAAACTTTAGTGTATCAATTGAAAAAGGTTAGTATTGCTGCAGTTGGAACTGAACGGACTAAACATAAACTTACATAAAATTAAAGGATCCATAAGTGTATTTAAACCTAGTATCACAAAATAACTCATTCTCAGAGTGACAGGCTAGATTGTTTTTGGTGCAAAAACATGGTTTGGTCAAAAGCACCAAAAAGGAATACCTAGGGTTTTCAGGTGAGATGCCAAAATGGGTCAGCCACTTAGGAGTGCCTTTCTGGTTCAAGCAAGACACAGCTTTAGCACCTTATCCATAGACAATAATAGTAGAGAGAGAGGGGGGGTTAAAAAAGATATATCTGAAATCTCAGCCATCTATCTTGCTCACTATGATGCTGAAGGAACTAAAATAGTCAAAATGTTAAAAGAATAACTGATTGTCAATCTACGGGACTCTTAGATTAGCAGCAAGTGATTTAGGGTTATGTAAATTTAAAATCTTAAACTTTTGTTTTTAGTATGAATCTTATGCTCCAGTGATTGATTAATTTATATGGAAAATGAATGAAAAAAAGTAAAATAATTTACCGTTTTCGTTTTCTAATGTTAACAACTCCTTACTTTAAAACCACCAGTACCTCAAGGGTGCCACTTTTCTCCTTTGATTAAAATCAAAACCAGAAATAGACATCCCTTATTATATTATCTACAAAACATAATAATAAATCCAATCCAACCTATCTGACAACAAACACACTTACTTCCAAGCAACTATAGTTTATTCTGTCGAGTGCATCATTAGTTAAAAGGGAGAAAAATACACACAAACATCATCGCTATTATCACAACGTCCCGTACCAGAACCTCCCAGTGGATGCAATAACTTGAAGAATCTGTGTAACTCCTTCACTCGAAAAATCATGCTTTTGCTCAGTGTCTCTACAATACCGCAAGACAAAAAAAAGTCGTTAAGAGATTTCAACGGTTTTTACAAACAGCAAAAGAATCAATTCGCAATCACCTGTGGTTTGAGGCATCAGCCACCACATCATTATGCAGACCATCAACATCATTGGAAGAAACAGGTGTGTGCTGTGAATTTTCATCTGATTGCAACTCCATGAGGCGCCCCCTAACTACACTAAATCACATAAATTACCAATTTCCACTTTCGCATGCGAAAAATTAAAACAACATGTGATGAAAAGGGTTCAAGACTAGGCCGGTATCGAATACGTATTGAATACGGTGGGAGACATACCTATACCTTGTTGCTTTGGAAATTGGAAAGTGTGTTACTTCTTCAGATTCGAGAAGGGTTTTTTTGGTTTGCAGCCTCCGTCGCCGTTAGCGGAGGATCTGCGTCATGGGTGTGGTTCTGATCTGATGTGATTGGGGAATGACCTTGTGAGTGTTGGACTTACTCCTGGGCCTGGGCCTGGGCCTTCTTTAATATAAGAAGCAATAGTAGACTAATACCAATATAACATGGCTAAAATTCATGAAGTAAGTTAAAAGATTATTCATCGTACTTTTACAAGTTCATAAAACATAAATAAATAAAAATTCACACTATTATTATGTTAATTTAAATTGTAACTCAGAAATAAGCATACCTCTCAATGACATTCAAAAGATTAGACGTTTTGAACTCATATTTTTTTAAATTCATCTACATTAAAATGATATTATATCACATTCTCTTAATTTATTGTTCCACAAATTGCTTTAGTATTGAAAGCTGAAATTTGAAGTCATTATAGAAGAGTATACTACTAGCAAATAAAATTACAAAAAATTTTAAAATTAGTTCTCCATTTTTTTATGGCAAAATTTATTTTTTTATATATATAAATGCATGACTCAGTCGGGTCACGATTTTGGCCGGATTTGATCGGATTCGATGTATGGCCGGTTCGCCGGGTCGGGTCGGGTTTCATAACACTAATTAAAAATATTATTTTTATATTTAAATAAAAAAACTCTCACTTTCCCCCAATAATTTTTATTTTTTTTATCTTTTTATCTTTTTTTCTCACTTAAATAAACAATTCTATATCATTTAAAATGACAAATATTGGATACCAAAAAAAAAATTGACAAATATTAAATCTATATTTTTAAGTTCTTTATCTATATAATATTTATTCTTAATTTAATTTTTATTATGAAAAGTTTAACTTAATCTTTATACATATAATTATTTTAAGGTCGTTTCGATCATGTTGTTGTTATAACTCTATAAAATGAGCATGAACAAAAGAATAGAGTCTAAATTAAAAATAATTGTTTATTGTTCTTATGTAACCATTATTTTAAATTTAGTTCCTATGTATTAGGGGTGTTCATCAACCGATCCAAACCAATTCAAACCGCGATGACTGAACCGAAAAACCGGTAATCGAATAAATTGAAAACCGAAAAATCAAAAATCGAAAAAAATCGCAAATTTTAATTGGATTGGATCGATTTTTGGATGGGTTGATGAAAACCGATCCAATTCAAACCGATCCAATATATTAATTTCTCTCTATTTACTTGGGTCTTTTTCTCCAATCATAGCCCAAAAATTTCTAAACCCAAGACCCATTAACCCATCAACTAAACCAAAGAAAAAATCTAGTCACATCTCATCAACAAAATTTTATCTTTGTAGAGCTTCATATCTCATTGCCAAAAAAAGCTATATTATAGTTTACTAATGCTTTTGTATTTCAAAAAAAAAAAATTACAAAGCCAATATATACAAAAGATGTTATTGGCAATATAATCATGAAATAAATTTTAGAATTTTTAAAAACCTGAGAACCGATTCAATCCAAACCGAAAAAAATTGGATTGGATCGGATCGGATTTGAAAAAAAATCCAAACCGAATGGATGATTATATGATTAAACCAAAGGGATTGGATCAGATGATTTTTGCTTCCAAAACCGATCCAATCCAAATCGCGAACACCCCTACTACTATGTATACATGAATTAACTCAATATTAAAGCTATATTTTTAAGTTCTTTATCTATATAATATTTATTCTTAATTTAATTTTTATTATGAAAAGTTCAACTTAATCTTTATACATATAATTATTTTAAGGTCGTTTCTATCATGTTGTTGTTATAACTCTATAAAATGAGCATGAACAAAAGAATAGAGTCTAGATTAAAAATAATTGTTTATTGTTCTTATGTAACCATTATTTTAAATTTAGTTCCTATGGATACATGAATTAACTCAAATTAATAAAAATAATGAAAATAAATATACATACAAAAATTAAATGATTATTATTTTCACGTATGATGCTTACAAAATTTATTTTAAATTATTTTGGTGATGCTTACCACAAACACTCACGGTGCTATGTGCATCTAACATCTTCCTTACTTCCCCACAAAGAAAGAAAGTAAAATTATGGCTTATTAGGGCCTGTTTAGTGTGATATATAAAGCCTGATAGTATAAATTTATATTATACGTTATGACATTTTCAGTTGTTTGGTGTGACCATCGTATAGTATAAGCTTACAAAATGATGTATAACTTAATCCGACCTAGGAGTGGTGGATTAGGCCTGATAAGGGGTTAATGTATTAATATTGCTTACAAGTACAATTCGCAAGAACTAATATATCATTTTAATATATATTAAAATAATTATTTTAATATATTAATTTTTAATATATTGAAGGAGATTATCTTTATACAATATCATACCAAACGCTGGATAGTATTAAAATTAGGTCTTACAATCAAGTCTTATACTATCAGACCTTATACTATCCGGCCTTATACTATGAATGCACCAAACATGCCCTTAGAGTTTACATATCAGCCTAAAATTTTATATTTTATCAACTTAAACGAATAAATTTTATTATTTATTTCTTGATATATATATCATCACCAATTTTAGTTTAAACATAGGGTTCTTTTTTTTTTTTTGCCTAATATGACTTAATATGACGTCGGTTTGAGCAAAAATTATGGTGTTTTTGTAATTTTAATTTATTTCAGATTATTATAGTTTTTATAATATAATTTTTTAATTTTTTAATCCCAAAACAACATCTCATTTTGGGAGTAAATATAGATAAATTATGTACAGTAACAGCAAAAATATTATTCTGTTAAACATATCAATTAAAGTTTACATATTAATATTGTTGTTTTTTGTAGTATTAAAGGTATAATAAGAGTTAAATTTCAAAATTTTAAAAAATCATCATCGAATAGCTCTGTAGAAAAACAAAAACAAAAAACAAAGAACCTCAAATGGTCAATTATAAGCAATGAAATTATGATATAGCTGGGAGAGCCAGTAAAGAGAAGTATTTGTAATTTTGTAGCATGGTTGGAATCTACCAGATGTATTTTCATGACCAAAACAATGAGCTTAAGCAAAACTGAAATTGATCTATTGAAAAAATACCACCATCACAAAATGAAGAATTTCTTGTAACCAGTGAAATTACAATCAAAACGAAGAGTTTCTTGTAACAAGTGAAATTACAATCAAAATCTGCAAATTGAACTCTGAAAAGCAAATGAAAGGGTGTGCCAATATGCCAAACCAAAGATTTGGGACTTTGGACCTTCATCAACAGTAACAACTAAATTTCATCAAAACAGTTGTCTACAATTATTCAGCATCATTCTTCTGAGCTTCATCCATTGTCATCCGATTCTCTGGCAGTGCCTGCAGTGCAGTTCTTTTCCTCTCCACTTCCTGCACATGTCAGACAGTGAATAATGTCATTTCATTAAGAACTCAAATAGTACATTGCTATAGTAAAACAACCAAAATAAACAAAATCCAGCCTAACCTTTACAACATCATCAGTATTGCAGTTTGATTTACCATCTAGCCTTAGCTTCAACATCTTCTTGAGCTGCCGCACACTATTCTTCTGTAATTCATTACCGGTCAGGTTTTCCTTCATGATCATCTTTGGAACTGTTTGAATTTCATTTGCATCATCCTTTGTTTCTAGCTGAGCCGGGACAAGGGACTCTCCATTTAACTGGTCAGAAACAAGTGATTGAATTGTTTGATTACAAGTCTCTGCAGAAGATGCAGTGTCTTCAGCAAGTTCCTCAGCTTGGACTTCAGCTTCCAATTTCTCAGAATTATCCTTCTGGTCCTCTTCTTTATTCACGTCTACATCCATCAATGAAGATTCAAAAGTGAAATTTTCAGCTTCCATGCAAACCATCTCAGAACCGTCATCCTTTTCTACAGTTATAATAGCAGAAGATGCACCAGTAACATCAGAAGCATTATCAATTTTCTCCATCTCTTCCTCATCTTCCAACTGCTCTGATTTGGCTTCCAATTCTAATTCTTCTTCATGGTGCTCACCCAGCTCAAGAACCCCTTCAGAGCTTGCCAAGTCCTTATCAGCAGCCGCTTTTTCATCACCACCATTTATTGGTTCAAAATTCTGAAGCGAGCAAGCAACACCTTGGTCAGTGACATCCATTGAAGCATCATCAGGCACCACAACAGTTACAGGGGCAGTATCTTGGACAGTAACCTCAACAACGACATCTTCAGACATCTCAACAGTCAAACCAGCAATATCTTGGTCAGTAAACGCTTTAACAGCATCTTCAGATTCCTCAACAGACAACGCATCTTGCTTGGTTCCAAGGCATTCCTTATATTCTTGTTCAGAAGAATCAAACGTATCCACAAGTTCAGATAACAACTTAGATCCTGCAAAGTGATCAACAACAACATACTCAGATAACAACTTAGATCTTGCAAACAATTTATCAGTGAGGGAGATCATCTTACAAGAATTAACAACAATATTTAACAACTGCTGTTCTAAGAAGGCAAAACAAACCTGCTTCATTTGAATCATCATATGCATCAGAACTTTCTTCCATTTTTAAATTTGAACCATGTGATTCAGCCTCCAAGTAATTGACTTTCCCTAAACCCTCCTCTTGTGGCTCAATCTCCAACCCAGCCTCCGCATCATTTTCTGTCCCAGAAACTAATTGAACTTCTGAACCTGAGTCATGAGGCTGGCATTGATAACCAGTGTTGTTTTCTTGAGAAGAAACTTCCATTTCATCGGTATTCTCAGAAACCACAGTTGATACAGTCTGCAAACTATCCCCTGCATCATACACTACTCCAATTTAGTGTATTAAAAACATATATGACTCAAACACCATGATGCAAATAACTTCCTTAAAAAGAAGAAGAAGAAGAAGATCCAACATACCCTTTTCAGTCTCTGCTGAGTCTTCCTCTTGCTGAGAGACATTACTCAATTCTTCAGAAACATTATCAATCTTGTCCATCAAACCCATCTTGGACAAGTTCTTCCCCAACAATCTAACCGACCTCCTGGTGCTATATCCTTGCTGTACTGAAGTAGTACCACCAGGGGTTTCAGTTTTGGTGCAAACCGAACGGCCAGTAACTCTTCTCCTACTGCTTGGGGCTGCAGCAGGAGTTTTAGGCTTTCCTTCATCTTCCAGCATCTCAGTTTCTTTCTTTCTGCGAGTAGAAACTGCAGGGACCCTCCTCCTGCTACGTTGCACCATAGCAGGAGTAACTGGTACATTGGCATCTTTGTTCTCTTCTTCAACTACTCCTTCAGCTTCCGTTGGATTCAAAATTTCATCCAATCCTTCAACCTGAAACAGTTTAAAGCAAGAACCTTTTTAAAATTAAACTTCTTAATCATCACAATTTCAGAAAAGGGTTTCTGAATCAAAAGAATAGAACAGTTTAATAAAATTTACAGATATAAAGAAAATCGATATCATCAAAGAAATGCAAGAATGAAACATTTTGAAAGACAGAATAATCATGGGCAGAATCAAAAGATGTTTTTTTTTTTACTTGGGGAAGAGCGGCGAGAGCTTCAGCCATGGCCAAGTTGGTGATGTTAGCTGGAATCTTGTTCTTCTTGCAGAGGGTCTGAAGCTCCTTCCTTGAGAGGGTGTGGAAGTCCATGATTGTAAAAGTAGAGAAAAGATAGATCAAAACAAAAAAACAAGGTGTTTTGGGTTTTGATGAAATGAAAAAATCGAAGAATGCGGCGATAAGACACAAAGAGAGAAGATAGGGTAATGGTGAAGACAGAAGGAATAGGTGGTCGGTATTTATACAGTGTGGTTGATGGAGGCAGAGAGACACGTTAGAGGATGTGACCGTTAGAGCCCTAAATTTGAAATTTGAATTTTGGGACTATAGGGTTAATTTGATTGATTAAATATTAATGACGCTGAGATTTAATTAGACTATGTTACTGTTATGTGTATTAGTATTCCTATTCCCAATGGTAAATCAAACAATTTAAGACTGATGCATTTGATGTAGCTATATTTCACAGATTGCAATCATTAATCTGGGAAAGATATTTTTATCATTCAATATTTTTATCATTCAAGGTAACAACTTTATCATCATTCATTTCATTGCTTAGGATAAATATGCGTAAACAATCGATTCAATGTATGCAATCAATTCTGGGGTAACAATTTTATCATTCATCGCTTAGGATAATTGATGTTTTTTTATATTAAAAAAGTAAGTTACTTATTCAAGATTAAAATGATTGCCACAAATTTTAATTTATTTAAAATTATTATTGCTTTAAAAAATTTAAAAAGTATTGCGTACAACTTTCAAAAAAATATTATGTATTCTTTTAATTTTACCTTTATTTCTTGATGTATCTATTAAATAAAATAAATATAATGTAATAGTTTAATAATTCTCTTGTTTTTGATAAAAAAAAAAAAAAAAAAAACTTATGTCAGTCCTGCATGGTAGGTATGTGAGATTAGTTCTGTAGAAATAAGGTGTGAAAGTCACTGAATCCTCTTGTATATAAATTTCACGTGAATTAGTTATGTGAAAATTTTATATTTATTTTTTTCGTAAATATTCCTAAATGTCGATAGAACCCAACTGATCCCACCCATTTGGTACACAAACATTTGAGATGTCTAGACATGATATGCCATCCAATACTTAGGCGTATAATTCTTGTTCAATCATTTCCCTTTTTATCTTATTAAATCCATTCACTGTTGTCCACCTCATATATCTAAATGACTAAATTAATACGTTATTTCTTTTTTTATTACGATTAGTAATATTAGAACATTACATTTAGTCCAAAATCCAACTGAACAAGACATATTTTGTTTGCTCATGGTGCATATAAAGAAATCTAATGGCTCTCGTGTGGAATTTATAAAGTGGAAGGATCAATTACTTAAAAAGACGTCTATGCAAAAGAACTTATGTATTCTGTATTTGGAGCATATTTTCAGTGCAATTGGAATAGACACTCTTTTGTCAAAACAAGAAATAAAGAAGATATGGAAAAAAAAATCATAAAGATAAAGACAGTATAAATGTTACTTGTTTTCATTTTTGATAAAATAATGTACAGAATATTTTATACATCTGTAGCATTGAAAAATATTTTGCTGTTTTTGATACGTCATTTCAGATAACTAGACACACGTATTCTGTTCTTGTTGGGTTACGCTTGAATAATATTAAAAAAAAAATAAAAAAATCATATATCGATTTTCTAAAAATATCTTCTCTAAATTTTGTAAATATTACTTCACAAACAATTCTATGGTGCAAAAATATCTAATAGATTACTTCTCTAAAACTCACATTCTCATTTAGAGGGGTAACTATGTTGAATTCTTGGATAATAACATTACTCATCTTCAATTAGAGTTAAACCTAATGCACCCATCACCACCAAACATGTGCAGAATAACAACTTAACCAAACAAGGTCATATGAAATACGAACACAATTCTACAAGGGTACCAGCAAGAACTGCAACCAATGCCTTGGCTTAACCAAGTACATGGAACAAAGCTCAAGGGCATATTCTAATAGAGTCACCACATCAGTAACCAAAACCATAAATCCATACTGCTTGATTAATTTTCTGTATAACATGTCAGGAATGGAGAGATTAGGCCATAAGCTTTCAAGCAAAAATCTAAAACGACTATTTCCAGAGCTAGTTCGGAACAGTCTTTATCAGGCATCCATATTTTTCATAGCATCGGGTTCTTCTGCAGCTCAGCCTTCAGAATAATGAATTCTAAAGCTTCACCGTCTTTTAAGCTATCAGAAAATACATTAGTACCAAAAAGGTAACAGTATATTAGATAGCTAAATAATAATCAGAAATTTTCTCTTATTTAAGTTGACATGGAATTAGGACTTGGAAATTGGAATGTCAAATATAGGCATCTACGTAGGTTAATATATGGTTGGAAAGCTATATAGCCGAACAAAAAGAAAAGGAACAGTATAGTTTCTCAATAAGTTTAGTTTAAGAGATTAAACAGGGAGTTATAATTATACATCGCAATATTGTTTCTCAATTTTATGTGAGTAATGGTGAAATAATCTTTTTATACAAAAAAAAAAATCACTCCCCAATTAAACCTGACTAGCGAAAATCTTTTTATACAATAAATATAATTAATCATTTGAACATAATTTATTTTGGAAATAGACACGTGCATCTATTAGAGATCCCGAAAACAAGAGAAATGTGGGAAAGAGAGTAGTAGAGAGATTCAGAGAAAATTATTGATGTTAATTATGGTAATTGACAAAGTAAAGCCAACCCTAAAACAAACTGAATTTGAAGGAAAAATAAACAGAGCTCGAGGACAGTTACTTAAATTGATCACAGAAGAAAAAAAATTAGGAAAACAGAAATGAAGGGTATTGCATTGAAAACATTGAACAGAGCTTGAGTTTTAGAAAACATGCAGAGGAACTAAATCATATAAGTTCTTAAGGAAAAGAAGAAAAGAAGATGGAAACAATGCTTAAATGTTTGGCACTGTTTATCAGGGGATCAGCATATATATATATATATATATATATATATATATATATATATATATATATATTCAGTAGATAGAGATTATCATACCCGTCCAGGAACATGGCATGCCGAAGCTGTACCATTCATGCATATGAGATATGACACCACTTGCCTGCCCTTTGCACAGTTCAACACAGAACCCCCTCACAGCTTAATTTTAAGCAAAATATCTAACCATTTCTGTTTTTATAGATTCTCCTTATAACCATTCCTGTTGCAGTCAATAACTCACAACAACAATTAATAAACAAGCACAAGCGCGCATTCTCTGTATATAAATTGGAACTGGTCAACATAAGCATAAACAGAATACTTAGTAGCAATCGGTACATTTAAGCAGAGGAACACCACAAATCAATCCTAAAGGGATGAGACATATTCAAACGAAAGTGAATTGCAGCATCAAAAATAGAATTATTCATAAGTTCGCATACAACAGGCCACGTACAAGGACAAACATCATTAAAAAGACTATAGAGCCTAAAATGACAATTTAGATATCCTGTTAAAATACCCATTAAATGAAAAACTTGTAAGAAAGATATCCTGTTTTGGTATAATTGCTGAAATCCAGACTATAACAATCATAGCAAATGCATCAATAACTGAATCATGTGATCTCCCCATCACATGTTTTTTTCTCTTTGATAAAATATCTCCAAACCAAAACCTGAAAGATACATAAGTATAATCAGACATACAAACACGTTTAATAGCATCATAGATCCTATAACTCATGCACATGGGATAACACGAAGCAAAACAAGAGTCTTGAGATGCTTGCTTCAAATTAAACAGGACCTACATTTAAAAACAAAAAAAAAAAGCCGCACCATGATTGCCACCTTTGACAGCCACAGATCAAGCATAATGGAAGGGGCAAAATTGAACACGCAAGCATAGGCTCAAAAGATCCAACTGCAAAACAGTGAATGACAAACAAGAAAGAATATACTCAAAAGGGTAGAAACTTGTGCAAATAAATTTTGATATAAATCAAGAGATCTTAGAGGATAGAGTTCGATACATGCAAAAACAAAGATACACAAGAAAAGTGGGGCTGGAATTTCCGCAATAATTTACTCGTACCTGTATGTCAACAAATGGGTACAATATGCAGACAATATGCAACTTGGCCAAAGTGTTGTGGGAAAGAAGAGGGTTAGCGAAAACCCATTTTTCCTTCTAATTGACTACCACAGGTACACTTAATCTTTGGTTGAAGACAGTTTTTTTAAAAAGAAAATAAAAAATTGCAAAACAAATATCACCTGTGTACTTTCTAAAAGACCTGATTATATACCAACAACTTAAACCAAAGAAAAGAACATCAATATTGTTCTGAACTAAAGCAAATCTACCCACAGAAGATGAAAAACAAGAAAATCACTTAATCAAATCACATCATCCAGCCAAGGATAATTACATTTACATGTCAATCAGGAACAAAAAAAGATCAAAAACAACAATCACCGCAACGCTGGACTTACATCTTTACCATTAGTAAGTATGTAACACAATGTTCAGAGATGACTGTGTACATTGGAGTGGATATTACACGGTAATAGCAGGTAAGACATGATGAAACAGTTATTAATATAATGATTTAACAAGATGCTCAGGAAGACCAGGGAGATAAATCCCGCCAAGCTATAATCATTAAAAAAAAAAAACAAGTGGCACTATGGTCAATTAGACCAGGATCTTACTCTCTAAACAACAGAGTATTTGCCTGGCTGAGATCCACCAGGAAGTTGCAAAGCCTGATTTGTGATGTCTTCCAAAACACGCTTCAACTCTGCTTTAGCTCTCTTAACAGACTGCTCAGTAGGACCCTCAATAAACAAGTAGAGTTTGCGTTCTCCAGGTCCTGCGACTTTGCCAGATGGAAAAAACTGCCCCCTGGTGGTAATAGCAGCTCCAGTCCAGTCAGAAATTGGACCCAGTGTTTCCTTGTGCGTGACTTTCCACCGAGCATTCTGGGGGAAATCATTTATCTCCAATTCAGCTTCATAATGCTCAGGCATTACTTCAGATTGTATCTTTGCTAAGTTGTGCTGTAGGTTTATGGCAGCTAATGCTGCTCGAGTTGCCCCATCATTTGCGGCAAGTGGCAGACTTGTCCCAGGCATCACTGCTGTATTCTGCAGACCAAGAACAGCTGGCAAAGAAACAGGTAGTCCACCATTAGAAATCAGCTGGGCAGCAGAGATAGGACTAGGGATTGACGGTGAATTCACTTTCGAGGCAGCAAGAAACTGTGCAAGAGCTGGATGCTGTGAGATGTCACCTCCTGCCTTCCTAATACCTTCATCTTCATCTTCAGAATCTGACTTGTCTTCTTCAAACCCATATCCCTTGGCTTGTGCTTTCTTTGCTGCTTTTCTCACCTCATCTTCCTCTTCATTAAATTTAAAGCCACTGCCTCCATAACCAGTTCCATGGGCTTGCTCAAGTCCTTGATTCACTTTCGCCATAAAGCTATCAGCAAGAGTTTTCAAATCATTAGGAACAATTTGCTCAGATAGCTCCAAGGCTTTTGCCAGATCTGGTGCATATCTTGCTTCTTCCTCAGAAATAAAAGTAATAGCACAACCCTTTCGACCAGCTCGGCCAGTGCGGCCAACACGATGTACATAATCTTCATAGTGGTTAGGAACATCAAAATTGATCACCAATTCAAGCTCCTTGACATCTAATCCCCTGGCAGCGATACTTGTTGCAACCAATAAATTGCAGACATTGCTTTTGAAATCAGTAATTGTGGATTCACGATCTGTCTGATCCTTAGCTCCATGAAGAGAGAGGCAAGGATAACCATGCCTGAGCAAATCTTTGAACAAAACATCGCATTTCTCCTGTGAGTGGACAAATATCAAAATCTTTCCTTTCTCATACCATTCTCCCAATATCTCTAAGAGCCTCCAGAACCTCTCATTATCAGGCCTCACCTCAACTAGCTGTGTTATGTCCTTGTTCACAACACTCCTCCCACCAACTTGTAATTCAACAGGTTTATTCAAAACCTTACGAGCCAGGATTTCAACCTGACGAGGGAAAGTGGCAGAAAAGAGAACAGTTTGCCGATCTGGTCGAATATTCTGAACAATTCGTGTGATCTGAGGTTCAAAGCCCATGTCAAACATTCGATCCGCCTCATCCATGACCAGATAAGTGACTCTGCGCAGGTTAGTTATTTTTCCACTACTTGTGCATAGTATGTCAATCATCCTCCCTGGAGTACAAACCACTATCTCAGCACCGCGTTTCAACTCACTAATTTGTTGAGCAACACCCGAACCTCCGTAGACAGGTACGCACCTGAGACCCAGTACCTTTCCAAACTTCTTTATATCACTGTAAATCTGTTGAACAAGTTCCCTTGTAGGCGCCATAATAAGCCCAATAGGTCCATCTCCAGTAACAACAGGTGGTTGATCCTTGATGTGCCTTAACATAGGCAGAACAAAAGCAAGTGTTTTGCCTGATCCAGTTTTAGCAACTCCTATGCAGTCTCGACCACTCATAATTACAGGCAGTGCCTGAGCTTGAATAGGCATTGGCTTTTCATAGTTAAGCTTCTTTATCATCTCCAATATTTTGCTAGGAAGACCAGTCTGACGCCATGACTTTATAGGCTTTGGGACATCCTTTCCATGTATCTTCAACTCCAGCTCCTTCCTGTATGTGGCAACTTCTTCAGGAGTCATCTTTGAGATCTCTTTCACTTCAATGTAAAAAATTTTCTTGAAAGGATTATAATCAATTTTTGAATGGTCAACTATAGAAAGCTTTTCAGCTTTTGTCTTCTTCACTCTTTTCATGAACTCGTCGTCATCTTCATCTATTTGGTCACCCTCAGTTTCAAGATCTGCATATTCCGAGTCAGACTCTTCACCTGGTATTATTCTTCCAATAGATTTATTTGAACCTTTCCTCAGCTGACTACCATGACTTTGCTCATCCCCTCTATCCTTCGGCTTCTTGTCATCAGTTCTGTCCGCAATTAAAGGGGGCACAACATTGTTCAACTTCTCAACTTCAGGTAGCACCATAGAATTCATGAAAGCATCCAACGGATCAATTTCCTCATCGGCGGGAGCACCAGCAGTTCCATCTTGTAAATCAGATGCAAATGTTCCATTATCACCATCTACCACCATTGAATCCCCAGGTTCCTTATCAACGGGTTTCTCATCTTCATCTACATCCATAGCTATATCTGGCTTCCCCGTACCAGGTCCTTCTTCATCATCAGATTCCCCTTCAAGGGTCCAGGCCTTTCCCAACTTTGGTTCATTAGCACTAGCTTCACCATGCTTTTCTCTCTCTGCTTCTTCCCTCTTCCTCTTCAGCTCTTGCCACTCCTGAACTCTCCTCCTCCGCTTTTCCATTTCTTCATCCAACCTCTTATGTTCAGCCTCTATCTCCTCTTCATGGGTAGGATTTCCCTCCTTATCTTTGGTATCAGAGTCATCTTCACTGGTCTTTCTTCTCGGGCTTGCATCAATATCTTCAATTTTCCTATTTGACTTGCCAACACTCCTTTCCTTGTCTCTCCCCTTGTAATCATCATCCTCTTTCCTATGGCGCTTCCTGTTTCTCTCCTTGGAATCATCATCACTGTATTCACTATCAACCTCCCTATGCTTCTCTCTATCACGGACTCGCCTCGCCCTTTTTCTTTCGATCTCCTTGTCTCCATCACGGTCCCTCCTATCCTTATCTCTATCTCGTTCCCTCTCTCTCCCCCTTTCCTTTTCTCTTTCTCTTTCTTTCTCCTTGACCTTGTCTCTCGTCTCCCTTTCTCCTCTTTCTCTTTCCCTTTCCCTATCTTTATCTTCCCTGTCTCTTTCTCTTTTCTTGTCTCGAGTTCTAACTCTTTCAATCTTATCTTTGTCTTTGCGTTTATCCCTCTCTCTATCATATTCATGATGATCAGAATCATTGCTCTTGTCTCTATCACGTCGATCCCTCTTATCCTTATCCCTATCCCTGAGCTTCCCATTGTTTCTATCTTTATCACGATGATTGTGATTGTGATTGTGATTGTGACTGTGACTCCTCTTTGAAGAATCATCTTCCTTCAACTCAGAAGAATCCTCTTTCATTGATTTTGATTTATGTTTAAAATCTTCCATTGCTTGCTTTCTCTTTTATCTATATCCTAAGAGATGAACAATAGATTTAGTAACAGGAACATTCACACAAAGTAAAAGCAACTATGAAACCCTAGAAGACAAGTTGATTCAAGAGAGGAATGAAAACAGCAGACAAAGAAACAAAGAAGCAAAGCATACCGGAAGAGTAGAGAAAAGCTAGGGCACTCGCCTGGCAGTTATATTATGATATGTGACGGGGGCATCATTGCATTAGGATTTTTAAAAAAATTTATCAGACTGCCACGTCTAAATTTTATCAAAATGTCACGTGACATATTTCGTTACACTGTGTAGCAAAATATATTTGCAAGTAATTCGCTACACAGTGTAGCGAAATATGTCATGTCAGAATGCAGAGTCAGCAAAAATGACACATGTCAAGCAGGTAGAAATTCGCTACACTGTGTAGCAAATTATGCTTGGATTCTTCCTGCTTGACACGTGTTATTTTTTGCTGACTGTACATTCTGACATGGCATATTTCGTTACACTGTGTAGCGAATTACTTGCAAACATATTTTGCTACACAGTGTAACGAAATATGCCGCGTGGTATTTTAGCAAAATTGACTGTTGGCGTAGCAGTCTGGTAAATTTTTTTGCCAAACGTAACAAAATGGTCACTCTTCCAAACAATCTTAAAGATTTTAAAAGATTGCACTGACTTTACATATTTTTTTTTAAAGATTTTTTTTATTATCAAGATTTTATAAAATTTTAAAAGATTTGAAAAAACAATATAAATTTATAAGATTTTAATAAATCATATAAATTTTTAATAAATTTTTAAAATTATAAGAGTTAATAAAAAAATAAAGAAATGCAATAATATTATTAATAGAAAAAGGTAAAATCAAATAAAATTTTCTCAATTAATAATTTAATGTAACTTGATGTCATAATTGTGTACTTAATATGGTGCATTAAAAGTCTTGAGAATATTTTATCGGCAATATATTATCCATTAAATATTTTATCATTTATGTATTATCAATGCTACGATAAATGTATCAAAAAAAATGGAACACATTATTAGAGACGACAAACATAACTATAAATCATCAATTAATCGCCAAAACAAGAGAAAATATATGAGTAAAAAAAAAAACATATCTTTTTTTTTCTCCTGATGGGTCCCACCTCAAGTTAAGTGCAGAATATAAAAATATGTTCATATGACATAAGAGTATAATTATCCATTTTGTAAAGGTTAGCTTATGTTACATATTTTTCTTAAAATATTTTTCCCTCACATTTTTTATTTCATGAGCTGTATCAATGTTTAAAAAGAAATTACAAAATTTATTATTCGATCTAAAAATATATGTGGACTAAGTGAATTCTATGATTATTTTTTCTCTGACGAAGAAATATAGAATTTGATGCATTTATAGTCACAACATTTGAACGTATATTAGTTTGAAAAAATACATTTTATAATTATAAATAATTCAAACCAAACTCAAGCCAAATCTAAAATTTAGTTCGTACCAAATTAATGAGTCAACTCAAACTCAAAATATTTTTCATAAACTTGCCTCCACTTATCTCATTTACATTGCTATCTACACCGCACCAACATGCCAGATCCTAATGTTATGTTATGTTTGTCAGATCAAACCATTTCGATCTTGTTTTACTAAGAAGGTTTGTTTTGTTTAAGGAATTTGCATTTATCATTTCACATGACACAAGAAAGTTTCCTACTCAAACAACATTTTGTGAGATCTACACTTTTTGAAGCAAAAAAAAATAAAAAATTACGGCACGCAAAACGAATCTCTATAACATTACACAATCATTTTTCCTACAACATAACACTTATAAAACCCTTTCTTTAATACTTTGATCGAGAAGTTGAAGAATGTATCAATAAAAAGATAAAAAATAAAATAAAAATTACGGTTATTTTAATTTTCTATGTTCTTAATATTCATTTTTATCTCTTAATCAATTAGTTATCTCTTCTGCCTTTATTTAGCGAGAATTTTAATTTCATATTATTTTGATTATTTAGAACATAGTATGTTGAATTTGACTACTACTTCATTTGTTGTTTGACACACTTTCATTTAACAAAAATCATTTAGATGAAAAATTATCCTAAGAACAACATTTAATATAATTTATAAATTGATAAACTAAAACAAATAAATCAAAAAAATTAAAAACTAAAATAAATACATAATGAAAATATCACCCTTAAAAGTGATTCAGCAATTGTTATTATTTTGCTCACAAAAAAAAAAAAATTACATATCTCGTGAGTCTCACTATTGACTCAAGTACAAGCGTGGATCGCTCAAGACATGATGAACATAGCGTCAAAATTAAACTCAATAACCAATGTAATTTTAGTGTTACCAATTCAGACAAGCAAAACTTTTATATTAAATAAGCCAATTAAAAAAAGAAAGGAAGAAAAGACATGATTTTCGAAGATTAAATTGAAAATTAAACTGCACAAAATACAACAATAACCTAAAACCACTCTCTTCTTCTATTAGTGTTCAAGTTATGTTTAAGCTTATTTTGGGAGGAATATAAATCATGGTAACTAAATTAAGATTTACTAAAATGCTTTTATAAAAAGTTGATTGACTTTATCTAATGTTTATGCAAATAGAATACATTCGAAATAGTTTAATTATGCTAACACCTAACCATCATTAACACAAAAAATCGTTTCTTATTACCAAAATAAAATAAAAAAATTGCACATTCAGGAATATTTAACTATCTAAGCCTGCAAATCTAACTCAGTATTATCATTATACCATATAATGCTAAGGTAAAAACAAGACGAATTTGAAATGCAAATTTAACCAAATCTGTCAAAACCTCAAACACTTACCCAGTGGCCGGCTGCCAAGTCAAACATTTATGTAAACAAAGCCACAGCTACCAACTTCCAAATGAGATAGTGAAATGGGTTTGTTCCATTAGTTAGACATAACCAGTTAATGGTAACAAATTTGACTTTCTGCATAAATAATTTTTTATTAAAAAAAAAAAAATCAGTTCAGCGTATTGTTAAACTGCGGAAAGCTTGTATCTTCGTTTCTAAAGTCTAAAAACGAATTTCAGCATAATTTTCTGCTAATAAGCATCAACATAGAACTAGTAATACACTTCAATTTTATTAAGTATAGATGAATGAATCAGTAACTAGATACTCACATTCAAGGCAGCTAAACAATTTCATGTTTCTTTTATTTATCTAGAGATACACAGGATGAATAGGGAACTATATGAAAATCCTTAAAATGCTGACAATAAATTGAATAGGATTCCCTATATTGGAAAGAAGACATCCCCAATAAACTGTGCTACCACTGTAAGATTATTGTTCCCTTATAACAATGTACATGTAACCTATGAATTTCTCTCCACACCAGTATTCAGCAAAGCCGCATTACTAGATGCTTTCAATGGAGGCCTATTAATCTTCTCAAGTAATCTACTAAATACTAACTGAACTGGTATGCAAGCTACTGTAGTGGGCCCAGAGATTTCTGGTTTAATCAATCTATCTGTTTGATAACTACACACATCATGTAATGTAAGATTATGTTCAATAGATAATGAGGACAGAGTTCTAGTTTTCTGACTAGAAGACAAATTCAATTTCTTTGGCACCTTTTTTAAGGACTTTTTGTCAGCTGAAGACCGATGACTTTTAAGGCCACTCTTCTTCTGGAGGCTCGCCTTATGACTGGAACTTCCAGCGTTTAATTTTTTATATTCAAAGTTTCGTTCTTGATCTAAGGAGGGAAACTCAGCAGCAACTTCAGCACCATTTGATGATGACACATGGCGTGGAATGCGAACATTTGCTGTTCTCCTTGCAGTCCTCCATGCTGGTGGAAGCACACTACTTCCCTCAATACCAATCCCATCATTACTGAAGTCATCAATTGAAGAAAATAGAAAATCAGATGAACCATCCTTGAGGGTTTCAACCTGGACTGGGTGCCCTATTATTGCCCTCCCATCTAACTTACTCATGAGAGAAACAATGGGTACAGGCTCTTTCCGATAGCTTGCTTGAACCTTCAAATCTACATTAACCAGCATTGACCTCATCATCCCACCCAAACGGTAACGATCACCATATATTGGAGTAAATCCTTTAATATCCCAATATCCTTTCGAAGCAAGATGATCATCCCAGGCCCAATCAGTCCAATCAACACCTCGATGAATTTTATTTTGACTTTTTGATACTGCTCTAGAAGTTAGAGAGTATTCCTCTTCCAACCCAAACATTTGATCATCGTCATCAAGAGCATCACTAAAATCATTTCTGTAGCAATGCAAACTCGGACCCATTCTCTTGTGGCTCAAATGACTTCTTCTTCCTTCAGCATCTGCTTCTGCTCCATATATAATACCTTTTCCATCAGGAGCACCAACAGACCTCTTTACCAAATTCCGATTATTCCTTTTCCCTTTTAGTTTCCATTTAGACACAGCTTCATTATATGTTATCAGATCACGAGGATAGAGGTGAGGCATGTTGCTGGAAATTGCTAATTCATCAGGCTCCTCACTGCTAGTGCTTTCATGTTCTTCTGCGTCCCGACCAGGTTCTGCAGTTACAATAAAATCTAAAAATCCAAGAAGGACGATTTTTAATGAAAGCTAAAACAAATAGTCCGACACAAAAATTGAATCCTCACTGCTTATCAGGAGTGACGCTATGAATCCCTTAGATGCCCCATAAAAATTGGAAGTGACTCCCAAATTACACTTCATGAAAACCAGTCAAAACTAAAATATGCAAGATTATGACAATTCCTTCTCCATCCCTCCTCCTGAATTTAAGACTCTAGGCCTTAGCAAATCAGATTGCTCATATAGTACATTTTATCTATGAAGACCTTTTTTCTTATGTGTCGAGTGCTTAACATGTTGTAAAACGTACAGTAGTTTCCCAAGGAGATAATAAAATCCTTTATTAAATTCTCATAGCACATTGGCCACTGGCAATAATAGAGGCCAGCTAAATTATTTGTTGATTTCATTAGAACAGATGAAAAGAGAAAGTAGAGAGGGAGACTTTGGGGGGAGGAGGTTTGTCATCTTGTACTAAGCCAATTCTAAGCCATTTGGCAGTATACAGTCACTAGTTGAAGTTACAAAATTAGAAAACCAGGTAAGGAATAATGCAGAAAAGCAGACGGAAGACTGCCTACATCAGAAGCTGAGACAATGACTTGCACATAATACAAACAATCATGCAACCAGAACAACTAATAACTATTTTCAGTGTAAGAAGCCAAGAAACATAATTAAGTGTAAGATAAGTAAATTCAGTAAATACAGATACTGGCAGCAGAATATATGGAGCTCTAGAATCAACATGTTTATTTATCTTTTCAAGTAATGAAGGTTAGATCAAACTGTTAACATAAGGACAGCATGAGTATGACAGAAACTTAACCTGAAAGTATATTCACTTCATCATCCATGTCTTCTTCTGTCTCAGAAGAATCTGAATCGGAACCAGGAGAATCTGATTCTTCAGAATCAGATTCAACTTCATCCATAAAGACAGATTCAGTCTCTCCAACCAAAGAACCACGATAAGGAAACTCCCCTCCAAGTTGGGAAGATGACATCTCAACATTGGCTAGAGTCTCTTTGTAATCAAGAGAATCACTAGACTCAGCTGGAAAATACATAAATCTGCTCCTCTTTGCTCGGCAAGCTACTCCTATTTGCCCAGCTCCTGTAAACAGAACCATAGATAGGTTATACCCTAAATAAATCCCTAATTCTCACCAATTATGCCTATTAAATATTCCTCGCTCAATCTCTCATCTGGACATTTTCTTTTGTCTAGAGAATTTTACCATTCGTGTGAAGTGCACTACCACGACTTGCAAGAGCCCGAGCACCATCATCAAGTGGAGGTTTCTGAGAAATGTTTGGATCAACAGAAGATAAAATCCTCCCTTTCAATGGAGCGGTTTTGAGCCCAAAATCCTGCAAGCCTCTCATCCGAGGCATTGCTTCGGAATGATCGACTTCCCCTCTCAGTTGATTGCCATCCTTTGCTACGTCCGAAGGAAACTGGCCTCCAATAATCTCGTTTTCACGAGAAACGTATGGTTTTGAATTTGCATGTTTTTCATTATCATTTCCCAGTGTTTCAATTGGCAACGTAACAATGCCCTTTTTAAGGGAATTGGAAGATCTACAACTGATTCGATCAGAAGCAACACCTAAATTCCCTTGCTTCTTCAATATTTGCTTCTCAAGTTCAAGAGCATGAAGAATGGCATCTTCCCTGCGGGCGTATTTCTCTCTTTTCTTTAATGGCATCCCCTGGGAGGATTCAGCCCTTTCAATACAATCATCAAACTCGCCGCATCGAAATGACTTCACACGCTTGGATTTCTCCAAATTGTACCAATCCCTGCAAAGACATACCACCAAATAAGAGAAAAATTAATTTTAAAAAAAAAACTAAAAACAATGTTAATACATTGATGCATCTTATATGCAAAGGAACTTAATAGATTTCCAAACGTTCCACAAATATAAGCAGAATTTAATTCTACACAAGCTATGGCACTATGGTAACTAACTTAGTTGCAAAAACGTAATTAAATGAATCACTATAACACAAGAAAACAGGTAAATTTGAATGAAAACTTACACGCTGGCGTCTTCTCTGCCGAGAAGTTTAACCGGAGTTCCTGATCGAGGAGAGGTGAGATGAGAAGCGGAGAGGTCATCGGGTCCAAGTATTTGACCCGGCCACCATGACCCGTTCCTCCGTCGCACCCATACGATGGATCCGACGCCGCAATCCATCTCCGGCTTCACTCTCCCTTTCTTTCGCTTCCCCAGTGTCTCTATCTCTATCTCTCTCTGATGAAGAAAATTAAGGGGTGACGGTGGCAGTGACGGTGACGGTGACAGTGACGGTGTGTGCCTCAGATCAGCCAACGGCGAAGAAAAACGATGAAGGAAGGATCCGGGAACCGTCGTTAGTGGAGGATCCGATTAGTGGTAAATGGGTTAGGGCAAATGTTCCCATTCAGATTTGGGGAAATTTCATAGTTTGGGGATTCAATTTTGATATTCCCTAAACAATAAATTTGTTCCAATCTATTTTTATTTTATTTTTCTCTTTCCTCTGACGCCTGACTGACGGGGTTGGGGTTGGGTTGTTATGTAATTTTAGGATTTGATTTGGTAGCTTGAAATGTGGTGAAAGAAGGTGGATTCATATCCAAATACAAATACAAAAAGGAGTTATTAAAAATAAAATAATTTGTTTAACACGTGATATTATATTTTTTTATTGGGAATAACATCTGTCATTTTAAATGATATAAGTTTATATTATTTTATATTTTAATCGTTGATTTTCATTCATCAACGATTACAATTTATTAGATCAAAATTATTAATTAATTAATAATATATTTAGCCCATTAAGTTTGGCATAATAGATGATAACCGTTGATGGACGAAAATCAACAGTTAGGATCTAAAATGATATAAGCTTCTATCCTTTAAAAGTATAGATGTTTTTTTCTTTTTTATATTTTAAATTTGAAATGAGCTTTTATTTAGTGTGAAAATGTTAAAAAACCAGTGTTATTAAACCAGTTGGTCTTTAGTTGAACCGCATGACCCGGAGATTATATGTAAATCTATAATTTATATTTAAAAAGTTATAAACATACTCAAATAGCTGAAAAATAATATAAATTCTAAATATTTAATATAAAAAATAATAAATGATGAAATAAACCTATAATGCTTGCGATACTTGTATTTCATGTTCAATAAATTACATCTCTAACTATAAATCAAATCAAAATTCTCTATATAGTGTATAACTGAGATAATATTAATATTGTATGTGCATAATTTATGTAAGTCAATAAGTAACAGATAACTCAGATATGTCAATTATGAAATTTTTTTGGAAAACTTTTTTTTTGGAATTTTTTTTACATAAACTGAGTCGGGTCATCGGTTAACCAATCGATCGATTTTCACCAAAATCGACTGGATCGCACCAGGTCTGGTACTTGACCGATCCAATGTGATAACCGGACCGGTTCCGAGTCAACCCGATTAGTCCGATTTGATTTTTACAATATTGTAAAAAACCTTAGATTTTAGAAAAACAAGTTAAAACATCCTATATCGTTTATTTTCTTATCACTTATCCCTTATGTTTTTTTTTTCTTATAACTTGCCTTTCTTGCAATTTTTTTGGGTACTTTTTTGCGATTTTCTTAATCTAAATTTACCTTTAACATTGTTAATAGTTAAGTCAATTTTAGGGATGTAAATGAGCTGAGATTTTAGGCTTTGATTGTTTATGAAGAATTAAAGGCTTAGCTTTAGCTTGACCCAACTCATTTAGAATTATAAAATATTTTTTTTCAAACTCATATACGTCTAAATGTTGAGATTATAAATGCATCAAATTATGTATTTTTTGTCAGAGAAAAAACAGTTATAGAACCCACTCAGTCCACATATAATTACATATTTCATACTAGTACACAAATAGTCAAAGAGTTTGTTTGTGAAACTGTGACCGTGAGATAATGACAGTAGACAACCCTAAAAAAATAGGTTAAAAAAGTAGAATTAATGATTCGATTACATAAAAATATATTATTTATTATAATAATAACAAGCTCACGGGCTTTCAAACCAAGCCTTATTAATTAGGTTTGAGCTTGTTTGCTAAATAAGCTTTTTTTAAAGCTTAAGTCAGTTCTATTTATTAAACAAGTCAGGTAAAATCAAGTTTAAAACAAACCAAGTCTTGGGCCTGACAAGTCGCTCTACCCATTTACACCGCTATTCAATTTGCTCATTTAATTCTTATTTCACATGCATAAAAAGATTTTAATCTAACATAAAGACTTCGGTTACCGACAACAAACTGTCTTTGATGATTTAGTATTTTTGGTCAAAATTTAAATAATAGATTAGTGCTTTTAATGTGGACAAAATAAGAATAAAATGGGCAAATTAGTCCAATTACTAATTGTGTTTAATACATAGTTGGATGAACAAAAAAAAACCATAAGGAAGATAAGTGATAAAAAAAGGAAAAAAATATTTATGTTTTTATTGCAAAAAAAAAATTCTGCCACATTCAAATAAAAGTGAATGGATTTCACTAATCTTTTCTCTCTTCTATTTATAAAGGGACCCCCTCACTTTTATACGATTGTAGCAGAAAAAAAATTCTTAGCGAAATTTTTTCAACTTTTCCCTATTTTTTATATACTTTAGCCAATAGGCCATATAAGCAAACAAAGGTATATTTATGGATATTATTATTAATTCATATTTTTTTTTTAAATTTTGTATATATACAAAAAGAAAAAACATTTGTCATTTAAAAAAAATGAAATCAAATTAGGATAAGATAGAAAGTAAGAGTATTGTGAGGGGGAAAATGTAAAAAACGAATAAATATATACCAAAACATAATTGTTTTACTAAAAATAACATAAAATTATATTATTTAAAATAATAAATATTTTTTCCGGCATAAAATCAATGTTTTCCTTTTGTTTTTGTTTTTTTACACACAAAAATTTAAAAAGGTGAAAGAATGTCCTATCACAAAATAGTATCCATGTTATAAGCCTTAACAAGGTCTTATAATAATGCTTATATATGTTTACCAAAAAAAAAATAAAAAAAAATAATGCTTATATATAACTCAATAATAAAACATCTACCTAATATCCTTTATCATTCATATATGTCTGCAATGTAACAATCAGCTTATGTTTTTAAATCTAATCTTTTTTAAAGTACCAACACGAGTCTGTAACATCCTGTAAGTTATTGATCATTTGTTATTCAGGTTCTTTTTTACTTCATATCTATAACTTAAATTTTTTCATTTAATGAATATAATTTTTTCAAAGACATGATCAAAATTCAAAATATTTCAAAGTTATTTTTTTGTCTTAAATTAATTTATCTAAGTATAAAATGTCTAATTTAAAAATAGTTACAATCTTAATAGGGTTTTATTTTTTTTTATGTCACATTTATCTCTTACTCTCCTTTTGATTTTCGTGTCTAATTTTTTTTTTCTTTTTTCTTTTTTTTAAATAAAGTTGATCCCATGGTTTGTGGTGAGAGTAGGAGAGAAGATTTACAGGTGACATATAACGTAAGAAAAATAAAAATCATCAAGCTGAAATTTTTAGTGGCAGAGTCTATTCGATTCTGTGCTCGCTGATTCATCAAGCTGAAATTTTTAGTTGTTGGGGTTGTACAGTTTGTGTGGTTGAATCCTGAAACATGAATCGGTCAAAGGATGTTTGGCGCTGCCTATGTAAGATCACCACCACCAAGCCCCATGTTTATGGGGTTCTTGATTCTCAGGGAAATGTTGTTGCCAACCACAACCCCATCATTGTATCTCGGCGATTCCGAAGCAGCATTAACGATGGGAATGAAGTGGATCATCAATTGACGAGGGATTTCCTTGTTAAGCTTTGGGTTGCTGATAGGAAAATGAGAAACCCCAGAGGAAAGCAGCAAGGGAGGAAATTGGTCAAATACCGAGGTGATGGTGACCCTAGATGGTTTTCGGGTTCATCTGCTGCAGAACATGGTGGTGTTATGAGAAAAGGTGAAAGGGTATTGAAGCAACCACCTATTAGTCAATCTGTCTCTGAGTTTTTAGACCCAGAGTCTCCACAAGAGGTGAATTCCTGTGCTTAGTTCTTTGGCATTGTTAATTCGTTTTATTTTGCTGGTATATCGTTGATATGATGATGTGGAAATTTAGCTTAGAGTTTACTATGAGGGCTTTGAGAAATAAAAAGCAAAGGTGGTAGCTCTAGGTTCCTGTTAATCATTGTGAATTATTATGCTAGATGTAACTGTGCAGTCATTTATCATCATATGAAACAAGCATTCTGGTACTTCAGGCTATAACTAGAGCTGAACTATATCATGATGTTGCCTCCAGTCATGTAGATTACGAATAAAGGTCCATTTGGATAAACTTTGAAAAGAAGAGCTTTTATGATTTATTTATTTTTAGAGGCTATAGTTTCTAGCTTAAGAGTAAAAACAAAAAAAATCACTCCTCGTTAAATCCCGAGTAGCGAGGTTAAGGATGAGGACAATCCTTGTAGCAGCCCTACCCCTGCATATTTGTAAAGAGATTATATTGTATATAGTCTTACCCTTGCATATTTGCAAACTATTTCCCATATTCGAACCGTGATCTTTCAATCACAAATAAGCAGTTTTACCATTGCTCTAGGTTCGCCCTCACTTTCTGCTTAAGAGTAAAATACTGAAATTGCTTCTTCTTTCAGTTTTTTTTTCTCCCCAATTTTTTACTCCAAAAAGCTTAACCAATTACCTCAAAAAAGTTTAGACTTGTTTTTAACTAAAAGCTTTGTTTTCTTTTTACAAAAAAAAAAAAGCGCAAACAAATAGATCCTTTTTTTTAGTAGAATGCAAACAAATAGATCCTAATTCTAAGTAAATTTAATACGGAGATGTTATACTTGCCCTTTCTTGATCTTATTTATTAGGCCAAGGTAGCAACTCTGCTTGCCAGGTCCAACTTGCTAATTACCAGAGATATCGAGTGGGCAAATCTTGCATTTGGCTTTGAACAGGTGATCCTCTTAATTCTTTGATGATTGGTTTTGTTTCCAAAGCAACTTCTTTAATAGTCTATTTCATTTTATACTTCTCGTTACATATGATGAGGCTGTGGGGCATTACTCTATCATCTTCTGAGAAATTTATTATTTCATATTTTTCCCTTTTATTTTATCTATCTTGACTATCATTCATGGCTTCATGTCTAATTTTGTGATTTTGTTTGGTTGGATTGAAGGAAAATCGTTATGCCATTGTAGATGTGTGCTACCCCCAGTCGGTCAGTGATAATTTTAATCTCCTTTTCATTACGTAGTTATATCACCTGCATGTATTTTCCTTGCATTGCTCATAATAATGATGGTTGATCTTGTTTGCTACTTGTTGTCATGATATGATCCAGCCTGTAGGTTTTATCCGTGAACAGAGCAATGTCATTACCAGACAGGTATTCAATTCAATCATTTAATTTTCACTTCTTTTGATTGTTTTTATTCCACTATGTGTTTCACGTATAATCCACATGATAGGAAATTAATAATTATTTTGCCCGTTTTTACCATAACTTAGATGCCTGCATAATTTATACATAAAAATGTGATACGGTCCAACCCAATAAAATTTACAAACGAGATAGAAATAAAAGAGTTTGGGTCAGGGTAAATTCCCGTATTGCCCCCCAACAGAATGCTGAGCTGGAAGCAGTTAGTTACATACGAAGCTTGGTGCTGAAGGGAGGGTATCGGATAGCACATTCTGGAATTGGGATTTGGGAGAGTGTGGAGTCTCTCAAACTACTCCTCATTATCTGTTTTTACCTTTCTGCAATTTCCTGTTAATTTTCCTTGTAATCACTATATCTGAAATACAAATTTTCTGATTCTGCCCACATTCTTGTGTTCTGTTGTGGTTTCTATTCCAATTAATTAAGGGATCCTACCAAAATGCTTTGGTTGTATCATTCATTTCTGTATTATTCTGTACTTGTAGACTGTTCTTTTTTCAAGAAGAGAAAGGAGAAACTTAGGGCTTGTTTGATTGTGTTCTGGTTTTTTTGTTCTTAAAACTATTTTGTAAACTAGTTACGGAAACAATTGTTTTCTATTTTTTGTTTTGTTTTGAAAGTTAAAAACCAAAACAAAAAACAAAAACAACTCAGACATGTTCTCTAAATTTGATTCTAAAAACAAAAAAACAGTAATAGTTTTAATTTTTTTTTTTACAAAACAAGCCTTACCAAATGGGTTTTTTTGTTTTTCTTTTTCCTGAAAATCAAAAAACTGTTTTTGAAAACTGATTTCAAACAAGCCCTTATACTTCCAAAGTAGAGGGTGACAAATCTAGTTTAACTTCATGATAAAGGAAAAGAAACAATCACATAAATAAGGATATAAATTTTTTTTTAACTAATATCTTGGGCATCAATCAATCAATTACCTCGAAAACCTCATTAGTAGTGTGTCATAAGGATTCAGAAAAGACAATATATAAACTTGTCCCAAAAAATTCACAAGCGAATGCGCATTCCTTCAATTGTAGGAATAGGTATTTCATCGTAATTCTGCTTAATTGACATTTGTCACATTCACCTCGCTGTCTAGATCTCATATTCAACACTTCATTCCCCAATCAGATTGAACAAGCAAAGTGCCTCAGTATTAATCACCAGAGACTTTATGAGGATAGACACACCTTATTTGAACATCAGTTCACCAAAGATTTTGTCATATAATCATGCATGAATTTTAAATATCTTTTTATAATTGATGAATGATTAGAACACTGTTATCAACACCTGCTCTAAATTTCAACATGAATGATTAGAATCGTGTCATATAATCATGCAGAATGAAAACATCTTTTTGACTTCTCTAGGTTTTGGATTCCGAAGGGGTCATTTTATTTGCTAAATTTTACACGCGTGTCATCTACTTTGTGTCTATTAGTAAGTTCTTTGTAGCACTTTGTGCAATGGCCAAGGCTTGAAGTGTGTAATTCAGTGGTGAATTCTACAATGGGTGCATGACTTATGCTATACATCTTGGTTTGCAAATCTTGATTTGATTTGTACGCTTTCTCTGTGCAATTCATGTTTGTATTATAAATTTGTTTAAATATTTATTTTATTTCATTCCATTTCATCCTTTCTTGCTGCAGTTGCTTCGTTCAAGGCGGCCTTTTGTTGCATCCATAACTGATGGTGTGGGGAACGAGCTCTTTAGGGTGAGGAAATTTTATTTTTCGGATTGGTTCTTTTTATGCACATGAAAACTTTATTTGGCTTCACACTAGTGAAATATGTAGAACATCTGTCTTCAATTAATTTCTCCTTTAGCTTGAGCTGAGACTGTGCTTTTCCATGGCTAGGTTCGCAGACCCTTTTGGTGGATAACAAGCTCAATTTATGCTGAAATTGATGGTAAGGTATGCCGTTTTTGTTATTGCTGTACATTGTTGTACACTATCAAGTTGTATATCAGCAATTTGGCTGTTAATCATGTCAAATCCTCTCTTCAGGAAGTTGGAGTAGTTCACAGGCGGTGGCATCTCTGGAGGAGAATCTATGATTTGTACCTGGGGTAATATCAGGATACTATGTTTTGAGTTGTAATTATTGTGATAAATTGCCAAAATCTTAACATCCTCTTGCCAAAATTAAGATACTATGTTTTGTTAGATTTGAATATTTTGTTTGGAAAAATTTAAGTTGTTTTGAAGCCAAGATATGTGTGTTATTCAATTTTCTAGAAGTTGAAGACTTGAAGTCTTATATTATTTCCTAAATGGTGAAATCATAGACATATAATAGAAGGGGCCAGGGATGGGAGAGTTAATGTTTACAATTTGTGTGAATAAGGAGTTTAATCTATCAAACTCCTTTCTATCTCTAAACCCTTTTACCATCAAAGGTTGACTTTGATGCTCATTGTGTGCCATTTATATGCCCGCTAGATTCAATTTGAAATTGCTGACCTAAAGTATAAAACAATCAAAAGTTATTTAATTGTGTATATGGGAAATTATACAGGCTGTATTATTATTTATTTTATGTAGTTCTTTAGCAACTGGCATTATATTGATATCATTGCTGTTTACTTTTATGTCTTTATTCAACTTGACATTTATATAGCAATTTCTTTTAAGAGAACTTGATTTCTTGGTGCCCAAACTTATGCATTATCTCTGTGTCTGTCTATAATCTTTTTCTACATGAAAATCAATAAACCTGTCAACTTTCTGCTAATATCTCTGCAAATAAATGCTCATGTGTTTTGTCTTTTTTATTTTTGGGGGAAACAAAATATTGCATTGCAACAGAACAGTGCATAATAAGACATTGGTTTAGAACAGTGAATATACAAGAACAAAAATTAAAGTCGACTCGTTAGAGGTCTTCCTGTTGCATGATAAGGAATACACCACTACCCCACCGACACACACACACAAGAAAAATAAAATAAAATAAAAATAGGAATCCATCTATAACCCACAAGGAGGCTTAGAAGATTGTCCAAAAAGAGATGCAATGGGAAAAATCTGGTTGAAACCTGCCATAATGCTCTAACCATAATGCCTAGTAGTGTAGGAAGAAGCAAATTATGGGAGGCCATGTATCCATCTCTTATAATTAAAATTCAGTTCTCTGACACATTTAGCCTTATAGCATGTCCAGCGGTCAGGAAACTTTTAGCTGTGTGGGATGCATGCTTATGCATGGTAAAGACTAAAGAGTTTTCACAGGTTGGCGGGTCCTTTTTCCAGGCATTATATCTTCAATCTAGTTAACCAGAAGCATTCATGAGAGTTTTATTCTAGACCTTGTTGGTTTTTTGGTCCTTTTTCCGCATCTAATCTTTTTGCCCTTTTGGCTTTCTTTTACCTTTTGTTGCATGGTCTAAGTCTCTGCTTGATACAGGTTTGACTCATTCTGCAGTTTTATTAATGTGTGTGCTATGCTTATATATAAATGATACTGTATATAAACATTTATTTGAACATATATTCATATGAGCCCTTGATTTATTTTATTGGTTTTCTTTGAATTCACTTTTGGTCAGGATATTAAGTTTGACAAATGCAAGCATCTGACTTGGTAGAATACATGAAAAATATCTAATAATATCTTGATTGTATCTTAATCTTAGGATAGGTTAGAATATTTTAGATGATCTCTTTGGAATAGTTTCCTTATTTCCTTACATTTCATGATTGATTTCCTCATTTAATTAGTATAAGTTGGAATTAGTGCTTTGTAGTTTTTATTGGATCATATCGCATCCTTCACAACAATATCAATATAATTTATTATTATGAGTATTCATTTTCCTCCCTCTATACCTAAGTCCCTATAATTTCAACATGACTTCTATACAAAATGCCAGTCTAAAAGAATAAGATTTGCAGGAATAAGCAATTTGCAGTGGTTGAGAATCCTGGCTTATGGAATTGGACATTCTCCTTGAAAGATATTAATGGTGAGGTGGTTGCTCAAATAGATCGTGATTGGAGGGGTTTTGGCTTTGAGGTCTGTTTTTGGCATTTACTTTTGTTTCTTAAAAAAATGTCATGAACCATCTCTTCCAAAAGTTTAAACTGTTAGAAGAACACGGATGAGTGGTTTTATATTACATTTGGGCTGCCTGTGTGTACAACGCATAGGCACATTTATGTTGTGCTGAAATTTCTTTTCTTTTCTTTTTTACTAGAAGAATGGAGTGACAAGAATCAAACTCTAAATCACTTAGTCATAGAGTTTCCGATATCATGTCATGAACTATCTTACCCAAAAACTTAGGTTGTTTGGTGAAAACACACAAATGATTTTATATTGCATCTCTAACAGAAGCTTTTGTTTTTGTTAAACATGCTTGCTAATTGTCGAGTGCTATTATTCTCTTTTGTCATGGTCTGTCATTTTTAAACTTCCTAACTAAATTTTTTTTTTTAAATATGTATTGCATGATTGTGATTTCGATGCTTTGTTCTACAAAATAAATCCAAGTTGTTAAGTTGATATTTATCATAATCAACCACATTGCCAGGTTATCTATATTTCTCTTCGCACCAGGTAAGTGATGACTGATGTTATTAAGCACTGATTTTTGAAGTTTCAGTTGAAGCGATAAAATTGAAATAAATAATCTTAGGTCTAGCAATGAGGGTTAACAAGGTCTTGGCTTTGATTCTTGACTTTGGAATGGAGCAACCTCCCCTATCCCTAAACTTTTTCTCACCCAAAAATAAAAAAAAATGGTTTCTATATATGATGTAGGAGCAGGACTGTGAGTGACTAGTGGGAAGAGAGAAAGAGCAGGGAAACAAAAGATCAAAGTAGACAGAAAAAACAATTAACTGATCAAAATAATTAATACACAATAGTACGAAGATTAAAGATCTTTATTATGTAAATGTCTTCTCAGAGAATAATCTAATAAATTGTTTTCCTTAGAATTCAAGGTTCAGTTTACATTGTTTAAGATAGGTCTATAATATTGCACCTGTAAAGCAGGAGCATTTAAAGATATATATATATATATATATATATATATATATATATATGAGGTAGGATCCTTTGACACCGGTGTCAAATTTTAAATTTGACACCTCATCTTATAGCCGTTAGATCAAAAAAGATCAATGGAGTCACATGCTTACAAATCAGAGTCGTTGATCTTTTTTGATCTAACGGCTATAAGATGAGGTGTCAAATTTGAAATTTGACACTGGTGTCAAAGTATCCTACCTCTCTCTCTCTCTCTCTATATATATATATATATATATATATATATATATAAAAGATGAGAGAGAGGGGATAACCGTTCATGTCACAGCTCTGATTAGATATTCTATCCTGGGGTTAGGATTAGTTTTGAGATAGGTTTTATCATATATAAAGGGATTTTCAGAACTGGTTTAGTTCAGATTTTTTTAATAATATACCCATGGTTTTTAACTAAAACACCAGCCCTCTATTGGCTGTGTACCAGATCTCCTTGGCTCTTGCTTTTTCTTCCTATTTCTCGAGTGCTACAGATTTAACCTTAGGCCTCCTATCCTACATCAACTTGTCTAACTGTTATAGCTGAGTCATTTAACTGAAGAATTTCATGTTCAATTCTTCAGACTTTTTAGCTTGTGTGAGTTCAAACCTGAGTGATGATATAAAAATTAATACTTTTACTGAAATGTGCAGATTTTGACCGATGCGGGTCAGTATGTGATTCGATTTGGGAGTTCTGATCCTGGCTCCAAGATTGGCCTCGCTACTGCGGTAGAGTCCCCTATCTTCAGAAAGCTCACTCCCCTCCTATTCTTTACTGATTGATATGCGTGTTCTTTCTGCAGATTCAGGAGCTGGAAGTCGCTCGCTCATTGACCCTCACAGAAAGAGCTGTAGCTGTAGCTCTTGCTATATCTCTAGATAATGACTATTTCTCAAGACATGGAGGCTGGTAAGAAAGTCTTGAGAAAAGGTTCCACCTTTTCACCTTGGAATTTATGTACTTTCTTTCTTGCCTTTTATTTTTAGTCCGTTTCTCTTGTTCTAACTTGTCAACAGTTAGAAAGTTGGAATTGGTATTAATTTTTTCTTTTTTTTAATTTGTTTGGGATGTTAGGGGGTTACCCTTGATTGCCATGGGCGAATAAATTTGATTTGACAGACAGTGTCATCTGGTTACCATCTACTGGAAGCATAATCCCTGAAGCCATTCTCTCTCAAGTAGTTTTTAAATTGGAAGGTGTTCTAAGCTAACGCCAAGGTTGACTCCGCATTGGGTGTTGGAATATTCTGACCCTTGTGATGGGATGATGAGATAAAAACTTATTAATTATGAGCTGTTACCATTTTCTAACAAATCAAGTATTCAAGCAAGTAATTGAGTTCTGGAGTTGTAAATGAATAAATTGTAATTGGTGCTTTCAACTATTCAATGTCCTACTATGAAGTATTATCATTTCTTTTTCTTTCTTTAATTATATTTTTAATAGTACAAAATAATATAGTTCTCTTATTTGGGAAATTGGGAACATATAAGAATTTATCCTTAGATTTTACCCTCCTGCGAAGAGAGAGCATGGAATCCATTGAATAACATCTTCCGCTGGTAGTTTTGTGGTGCATTTTACTTGTTAAGTCGTTGGATATATTAGACATTAAATAAATAAATGTGACTGAGGACGTGATACTTGTCAAACAAGTCATTTCACAAAGTTTATTCAATATTGCAAATGGGTCCCTGAGAAAAGGCTATTATTCAAAGAGTATTTGCAAAGAGTGCTGTCAGGTATTTTTATAAGTCATGCTTCCCAAGTGAATAGAGTCTTGCACTTGCAGGACATTGAAGGATACTAATTCTTGGAAATTTATGTACAGTATCCACTTAGATTCCCAGTAATTGTGGTTGATTTCTACCTCAATTTACTACTGGATTGGGGAAGCTGACAATGTTCTTGCAATAGCACTTGGAAACAGAGTATGTACTTGATTCTACTTCAGAACATGTCACAGTTGATGATGGAAACGGCCACATCAAAAGCATAATAAACTATTATTTAGCATTTAGATTACTTTTGAATACTTTAAAGATAATATCCAGATCTACTTCCGCATTTATCTTCTGCCAAGAGTATAAAGAGACATCATCTTGAATTGTATGTTGTCTGGACCATTCAATTATAAACATGCAAAAAATCATAACTCCATCACAAAGCATTTCCCAGCTATACATATACACATAACATAACCCTAAGAAACCATTACCTACGAATACACAATAGAAACCAGGTTTTGTTTAAAGCAGTCTCAAACACTTCACTGTGCCAAGTTTAACTTGGGAAACTGAGTGATGCAATAACCGCAAACACCAACCAAGTCATGTGAACTGTCGTCTCATGTACGTGTCTTCATGCACAAATACCGGGTTTTGACTAGTCTGAGGTGGGATCTGTGGTTGTCCCATGGCTATGGCCCCTTGATTAGGATATGAGGAATCACCAAAAGGATTGCTACCATTCTTTCCCTCAGTTAAGGTAATGTAATAGACAATTCCAAATGCAACACTTGCAAGAGATAAAATTGCACCTCCTGCAAACACTCCAGGTTTCACAACATAGCAGTAGTAGTTGCCAAAGTATACACTCTCTTCACCACGTGAATCATTCAGCGCCGCACCAGTTAGCAGCAGCAGAAATGCAATTACAAATGTGAACCTGTTTGAACAAAGATTTCAACCACATAAATAATACTAGGAGCATAATTTACAACCCTAGTCTGTTGTTATATACACAAGACCAGTGATCCATGTTTCCAATTCCAGACAGCACAAAAGCACATAAATGACTAGCCATGAAGAATAGCAAGCAATGTGAATCCAAAAATTTAAATTATGAAAGCATGCAATTTTTCTCATAATGGTGCATGAAATCATGTAGCCCACTGCTCTGAAATAAACCTAGTCAACCAAAAGCCTTGGCATCAGAAAGAAATTAATGTTTCAGAGACTCAATGCAATTCCACACAGACACAGTCACACACACAAAACCAATGTATATCGTACAACATAATATAATTCATTTATGTTTCTTCAATAAAGAACAAGATTTGTTTTACTAGAATTAAGTTTTAAATAACATTTTTTCTGTTGTGTAGCCATCGTGCTAAATATGGACAATCTTGAAAAATGTATTAGAAAAGAAGCAATAAAATGTATGATTTGTACATGCACTTTGCAAAAAAAAATTATGAACTATCATTTCTATCAACTTATACGATTTGTACCTCATAATCTCATAATAAAGACAAAAACTGTATAAATTAAATATTTTTACTTGTATGGGCATGGAAAGTATGTGATGATTCAACCTTTCTATTATCAACACTCATTCTACCAACTTGCTACAGTTGATTCTTACTAACAAATAAAATATATTTATTCAGACCTCTCAAAGCTCAAATTGCTTCTCATTCAATCCATCTTCGATATCAAAACATATGTTATACTTCTGTACATGCGCCGTTTATATCACATTGCAAATAAAATCACAAATGTAAGCATGAAGAAATATAAGCTATAATGCACAGGAAATGGGCATATACCTTAAAAAATATCAATGACATATAGCCCGCAATCTACTTTCAAAATACTACCCTACAAAATGAATTATCCAAATCCATGTTTGCTTCCTATAGATTCAGATCTGCTTTGTTCAAAGCCAATTCCTTTTTAGAAGAATGACAGTAAATCCACAAGCTGATACCATCCTAAGTTATGCCTCATTAGGATAACTATCTGCTTGAATATACCATCATAGTCAAACAGGAATATGACAAACAAAAAGTATAAAGAGAAAATTACCAGGATAAAACAAAGCAGACAAGTGCCACCCTCCAATTAGAATCTGGGATTCGATGGCTTTTTCTGCAACAAATACACCCAGTTGAAACATTTATGACTACTTGAGATAACATAAGAGCCAGTGCTGCAGTTAAACCAAGAGGTAGAGCTGGACTTCGGGGATACATGCACTGAATTGGTGTAATAAACTGAACTTGAGAAGTCTGCAGAAGTTACAGAGTAATAGTTATTATAGCAGCTTTCGTTCATGGTAAATGTAAACACAACAGAACTTACAAACAATGTTAAAATCAACTAAAAAACGAATGTAAGGAACTAAGCTTACCAGAGATTCTTTAACAGACACTGGAATAATATATTAATTAAAACATATCAGCATAAGATAAAAATCCTAGCATCTAACTTTATTTTTTCTTAATTTTTTTTTCCTTCCAAATCCTATCTATTCCAAATTGGTTAAGGAAAAAAAAGGATACCCAGTGGGTGCAGCTCAGTTGGTAATTTGGCGTTGAGTTAGTGGGGTTGGACATGTGTTCGATTCCTGCTGAATGCATTCTTGGAGAGGGGGCTGAACCTTTAGCCATCACTGCTCCCCCGCACTCCGGATTAGTCCCATAGCCGGCTCAAAGAGTCGAAGCTCGTGGGGATACCGGAGGGAGCCAAGTCGCCTCAAAGAGGTAATTAGGGTTGGGTAACTCCAAAAAAAAAAAAAGGAAAAAAAAGGATATCCGACTAATTACTATATAAAACAAGTAAAAGGGAAAGCTTAACGAAGGCATATAGACATGAGATAGACACAAGGCCCCTATCAGAATTTGTAAAATCCTATTAATTAAGAGAGAGACAGAAAATTTTCACAAGACAAAAAGTTCCATTCCCTATAAATATAATGTACTGTACACCATAGGTAAAGCAAAATCTTCGAGATGAACAGTGAAATCAACAAGGAAGAAGCGAGGGCTCAATGTAATTTCTCAATTAGATGACTAAGGAAGGAAAGTATAGAATAAATGCTTAAAGATAAGAAAATTGAAAATTTTGCATGTACTGCTAACTTATTAAAGCGTACCCTTAATTATACCAACCGCAACTATTAGACCCAACAATCAATTATAAAAAACAAACCAGGAAAACCAAGCAAAAAATAATCTTTTTTTAATATATTTTCTTGGGTTTTCCGAGAAACCAAGGAATGGAAGCTAGCCAACCAAAGAAAAACACAAACCTTAATCCTTGTTGCTTCAGCACCAAAGCTAGTTGCAGCTGATAACAGACCCAAGAATCCCACAACGCAGCACACTACCATAACCTTTCTCTCCATTCTCTCTCTCTCTCTCTCTCTGTTTCAGTGTTTTACGGTCACTGTTTTGGGAAGTATAAGGTTGGTGTAGTGAGTTGTTATATAGGCCAGGAACAGAACCGATAAGAATAAAGTAAACACTATCGTGTTTTACTTTTTTTATTTTTTATATTTTCTTAAAAAATATTCTTCTTCTAACTTTACTAAGAAATATAAGCTTACGTTACTTAGCGAGATTAATATAAAATTTATTTAATATTAAAAATATTACATTTGGTCTTACCCTCGATTCCACAAAGATTTTGAGTGAACTACTAAACCAGAGACTTGATGACAGCGACACCAAATATAAAATAAAATCCACAACTACTTAAATAATACATTCTTACCAAAATAAAAAAGTACTAAAAGAGTAGTTCATATATAATTACTTATTTCTAACAAAAAAATCAATTACTTATTAATTTAATAAGGCAATTGACTAATTATTTATTCTTATATTTAAAATATATTTTTTTTGAGTGGTAAACCCCAAAAAATATTTTTTTAAAAACCTCTCGTAGTTTTTCAAATATCAATAAAAAAGAGAGGCTATCATCATCAAGGACATTGAAGGTGTATAAAAAAAAAAGTTGCGGTCATCTTTTTTTTTGTAGTTAGACTTTTTTAATGTTTTTTAATTATATATATTTTGAACTACCATACTTTATATTTAAAAAAAAATAATGAATAAGATGTAAAATAAAAAGTATATTTGATAATATTTAAAAAATTCAAAATTAGATGTAAATCAGCAAAAAATTGTAACAAAACTCGTTTTAAATTTATCATTTTTTAAAGTGACAGCAGACTAGATGTTTAATCGAAATATTTACAGATTATAAGGAATATTCATAGCACTTTATTTTTTATTTTTATTTTATATAACATTATAGATTTAATTTTACCTCACATACTCATTTGAATCATATATTTCTAGATTGATGCACTATGATTAGAATAAAGAGTAATTGATCGTGCCTCCCCCATGGCTCTTACAAACTTAACATAAGATTGTAGTGTTCTTGGGAAATCGAGGCCTGCTGGAATTGGTGAACTTCATTGGGGACGTGGATGCTACTACTTCCAACCGTCAGCAAGAAATATAGATAGTTAATGGGAAAAATGTTTCTGCAGTTAAGTTATCTGTATTTATAACCCTGAAATAAATTAAAATTACAAAAACACCATGATTTCTATCCCAAAACGACGTCGTATTGACTTACTGCAGATAAATTATCTGCAGTAACTGCAGAAAAAGCGAACTCTTAATGGAAAAAATGTTTATGCAGTTAATGCAGATAAGTTATCTGCATTTATTCTCAAAACGACGTCGTTTTGGTATTAAAATCTTAAAAAATTATAAATATAAAGACTATTATAACCCTGAAATAAATTAAAATTACAAAAACACCATGATTTCTGTCCCAAAACGACGTCTGCAGTAACTGCAGAAAAAGCGAACTCATAGTTAATATGTGAAACACATGCAACTCTTGCCACATCTATGGTAACTTCAGAGACTCTCCTATAATGCAGATTTTGCAAGAAGCCAACTAACCGCAGATATATTAACCAGAATGTGTAGTAGAAAGAATGCTCCAAGAGATATATTGTTCAACTTTCTGAAAAGGTAACTTCGATAAAGACACAGAATATGATGAAAATATGGTTGGTTCTAGATAGTGTAATAGTAGACAAATATCGATGTTAATTAGTTCATTAAGAGGAATGCGTGGCAGATTGCTAGCTCATCCTTGAGGCTATCATGTATGTAGCCCTGCCATTAGCTCAGGTGATGAATGGGTACTGAGCACATAGCTGCTTGCATTGCCTATATTGGCTACCTAGTACCTACATTTTTAAAAGTTGAACCAACAAACAAAAGGAAAATAACCAAAAAGTCGATTTGATTTAGATTGTTGATATTCCCCTCTGAATATGGGTCGGAAATTGGGAAAAGTGGGAAACATGCTAGATGAACAAAAAATGCTCAACTCAAATGCCTCATACATAAAATTCTGCTTCACTTGGAAAGACATGCTGTGTTTATATGGATCATTAACATTTATAGCATCCGAAACATAACATAAGAAAACACAAGTTCACGAATAAGGTTCCTTGGACCCTTTCCCTCTAAAGAATAAGGAGAAGCCTTGTTTTTAAAATATTTCTACTGTTTGGTACTAGCATAACAGTCAAATTTAATTATATAATACTTGGGTAGATTGGTCCCTTGGATAGACCAACACGAACTTCCATCCCATGATGCATGTCCAATGTCCGCAAAGTCTCTGATTCACGGGGATCTGCAGGCAACATTACGACAGTAAGAGAAAAACAGAGAGAAGTACCAACATCAACAATGTGCACATGCCAATGAACCAAAGCAAAATGAACAACAGCTAACATTGCATTCCTTAATTATCATGGATCCAAAATTCACTATCATTGAAACAATTTAATAGAAGAAAACTTTAACCAAAATATTTGATTTTGAGTAGGCTATATCGAACTTCTTCTGTGGTTACAAATAATATTGCAAGCTTAAAATATTATCACTGGTTGATACAAACTATAATGCAAACCAAATCTTAACAAGCAGTGCAAAATTTCAATAGCAACACAAATTCTCAATAAGTCTGAATCAGCTTTGAGAATTTCAGTATAGATTACTCTTTAGATCCCTGAACCATGATTCAAAGTTTCCTGCAAGTCCCTACAACCTTTACAATCATCTAAAAAACGAATGGAACATAATTGCATGTATCCATTATCACAACAAAGCTTAATCAACTTTTATCAACAAGACTACAATAATTTCAAAACAAAAAGGAACTAACTTGCACATACCCAAAAATAGCCTTATTCTTACAAGCATAATATACTACCAAAACAGCTTAATATAATATCTTATGGTTTAAAGCATAAGTTCTGTTTTCCAAAAAAAAAAAAAAAGAGAGCATAATTTCTTTGTAAATCTTAGTTAGGCAGAAGCAAAGGTCCAAGATGACCTAAGATGTTAATTCAATCAGAAAAACAATTGAAAACATAGACGACATCCAGTTATATCATGCAAGGACCACTACTTATGGAGTTCATGTTCAATGTTAATGAAGCATAATTTAATATTTCATGTTAATGAAGTATAATTTAAACATATCACGCAGGAACCGCTATTTAAGCAGAAATCAAATGTATCAAAGTGCATTGGTGACTGCTCTAACTATATGTAGCTCCACATACAATTCAGCTAATCCACTGAGAAAAAAAGAAACTAAAATAGGTAATAAGCACTGCCCACAATACAACAAAGAAAGGAAAATCATATCACCATTAAGACAATCCTCAAAACCAAAGTGATCAAGACTTCCTGCAACAGTCTCCAAACCCAGCATTGAAGATGGAATTGCTCCAGGAGGCCGCTGGAATCTACAAGGAACAGTGGCATTACATTAAATTCAAACCCCTTTCTCCCTTCTTAATAAAATTAAAAACAAATATTCAAGCAATTTCATTTTACATTATAAAAGTTCTGCCCACCTAACCACACGAGCTAACCAACATGACAATGATAGTCACTCTCATTCAGATATTAATAGTTGTTAACATATTCATATAACAAGCACATTTTTTAGTATACATTCCAATGTCATCGTCCTATATCCCCTCCTATATGGTGATGTATATCATCTGTGCAGGAGATTCCTACTATACAAAGTTTACCACCACTCACACTAACACAAACAAGACCCTATGTCATATTGTCACTGAAATAGTCAAACTAGACTGGAATAGATCATTCCAAATACTCGTACCGGGACAGTATTTGCCTATCAAAGTCCTCCTTCAGTGGAAAAGCAGTGCCATACAAGTTCACTTTGCATTGCCTCTTCATCACTTCTTCCATCCTCCTTGTCTGAAAATAAGGAGCAATGAAAAACATATATAGAGTAGACTTCAAAAACCAAAGTTGCAAATAAAGAAAGAAAATAATATGTCTGATTCAATGGGAATTTAGATTATTATCAATCCAAAGATTTATTTATTTTTTATTTATTTTTTATTTTTTTTAAAAAAAAAAACCCTAATTAAAAATTGTTCCAAAAGCAATGGTTAGATCAGAAAAACGCAGAAAGACAAAAACTTGAGATTGAAAATAAGAGGGAAAGTTGAGAGAGATTACAGATTCGAGGGAAGATTGGAGAGGGTGAGCACCAACGATGTCGCTCTTGACTCCATGGAGTCCAAAGCGAAGTGCATCGTTTTGGACCCCTCCGATTTGGTGTGCTATGCTCTTTGATGATGACGCTTCCTCCATCTTCTTCTTCTTCTTCGATCTTCTCTTCTCTGCCAACAACCAACGAAGAAACAAACGTAGGAATAAGAGGGATTTCTTTGTAAGCAAGTGAAGAATCCCTTTGTATATAAAAGGGATTTCTTTAATTTTTATTTTTTTTGGTAGTTTTTCTTTAATTTTTTGTATTTGTCTTTCATTGTTATCTTTAGACTAATGATTTCTTAAAACAAAATAAAATAAATAATTGAAATTATTGCATTATCTTGTTCCCAGAATTATTTTTTTTTTTTAAATAAAGCTAAATAACTAAAAAAAGTAAAATTTAGAAAAATACAAGAAGAATTATAGGAACCAATGTTGTCAAACTCAAGTTTCTAAGTAGAAACGAAAAGGGGTGGTAGAAACGTAAAAACATAGAAACAACACGAAACGTAAAGTTTTTAAATTCTACCACTTAAGGTCAAGATACAAAATTATATATAAGCATGTAAAAAAAATATCACCTAATGAACATGTGTGTTGAGCCACTTATCTATATAAAAAGGAAAATTATTTTTCATAACCAAGCATCAAAATTATAAACAGTGATAATTAACAAGTAATGAATAACCAATCTGCTCTAACTGCTTTATACACTCTACAGATTTTGGATCATCGCTCATCAGTCATCCGGATATAATTTCACTTCTTTCTATGCACACAATGATCAAAAAACAAAAAAACGATTCTCGTAGCATAGCTTATAATAGAATTGCAGCTTTATAAGACATAATTATAAAAAAAACCTATATCCAAATAAAAAGACATTAAGATATTGTGAATATGATTCGGGGAAAACGAAAAAATTAGGTTTTTTTTTTATTAAATTTTTAGTTTTAAGTTTTTACCGTTTTTATGCGAGTTTCTACCAATTTTTACCAATGACAGTTTTTATTTGAGTTTTAACACGCACTACTCTAATAAAAATGTAAAAAAAATTTACGTTTTTACATTAATTTTTGACAACAATGATAGAAACCACGTACATAATTAAAGTTAACAATATAATATATTACTTTGACAAAAAAAATTGATTTCCTTACTTTTTTTAAAAAAAATACTATAATTATTACTTACACTACCTATTAAAACACATGGATTCAGCCCAAAGTAGCATTTGGATTCAACTAAAACCGACAATGGTTTGATTTGATTTGATTTAAAAATAATTTTATGCTTAAAATTTAATATAAGAATATAAATTAATTTTATTTAAAAATTAATCTTTATATTTGAAACTTATTAAAAATACAATTAATTTGTTTAATTATTTTTTGTTTTTACATTTACTGAAGTGGCATAAAATGAATTAAATAATATTAGAAAATAATATAAACTATTAAAAAAATCACTCTTTAAACTTTTGGGTTGAATTAGTTTTTATATGATATCAGAACATCGGTGTTACGGATTCGATCCACACCACCTCTTATTTAATTAATAAATAATTAGGTCTTATAGAGTTTCTTAACACATGGTATTAGAGCTCATTTTCATATGGAATTAAAAAAACACAAGATAAACCAAAAAATTGGTCTGTGCAACATATGATAGACCAAAAAATTGGCCTGTGTCATATCCATGCTTCAAGCCCAAAGGGCTCTTGCGCGAGGGGAAGTGTTAGAGAGATACAAAATAATTAATTAAGTTTCACTTAATGCCTTAAGTTTTTGGATTAAAGTAACACTTAAACTTTTGGATTGAAGTGGTTCTTTACATGGTATCAGAGCATTAGTAACCACGAGGTTACGAGTTCAATCCTCAACTGCGACCCCACTTTCTTTTTTTTGAAAATATTCCAATCGGTTCATTGCTTCGCAACTAATTCGATTCGGGACGGGTCCAGGATTAAGGTTTTAAACCCCTCCCAAAGGCGGTATTGGGAAGATTCGAACATATGCTCTAGTAAGGGTGTTTGCTGTCTAGATTTGATCGATTTTGAAGCAAAAATCATCTGATCCAATCCCTTTGGTTTGATTATTTAATCACATGACTAGTATGGTTCCACCATTGAACAGCCATTGAAACCACGGCCCAGCCATGTCATCCATCTTCATGCCTGCTAGACGAACCTTCAAGGACTCAGGAATTTGGTGCAAGCCAAAATATAACTCTGTGTGAAAAATCCAACCCACTGGGTCTATACCCATAAATGAAGGAAGTTCCATTTTAACGGACCTCATGATGTTCCTTGGGTCATTCGGATCATACCGTGCATGTGATCCTCCAACAGTATCATTGTTTGAAGAACATGGATGAACGCGAGATTGCGCTTGATCCTCTGTGCGATTCTCTCCACCAACAATCACTGCGTGTATCTGCTGTAACTGAGTGTTGAGTGATAAGAACTGAGATTGATGATCGGTGAACCTTTGTTGAATCTCCTCCAAGGTTTTATCGACACTCTGTTGGAAGGAACCTAATTCCTCAGCCACCTCTTGAAGCCGCATGTTGCAAAGTAGAGATGAAAGCACGAATGTTAAGAGTGCAACACTCTTAAGAACCAGGCACGAAGAACCGAATACAATTTGGTTTATTATTCGGATAATGACACATGTAAGACATGTGTCCTGTTTATATACAAACACATGTTAGCAACATGGACAGACACCTAATGTAACTAACTTGCCACCTATTCTCACTTGACTAACTAACTCCCTATACAACAGTAACTCAATGTAGTAAACTGACTCAACTACGGTGAACTAATGTCCCACAATTACATCACACAATTACATTGTCACAAAGTCTTTACTCCATAAAGGAGCACTCCTCAACCTAACTCCCTTAACCGTATCAGATTTCAGCGTTGTCGTTGCTATTTCTATTGTTTACGGATATTTATTAAATTTAACTCCTATAAGTGAAGGACACATGAATACAAAGTTATAATTAGTGATTAGAAAATTAAAGAAGTAAATTTATAATAATGTCATAGTTTTTCAATGGCATTAAATGCAAGGAGAAATCATGTATTAAAATGATCATGATGTCATTTATTCAATATCATCCAGCAACATTGTTTCACTGACAAAAATTGCATGGTGAAGCTTCATATCTTGGACAGAACATTGATCATTTTCTGGCGTGGCCTGCATTATAAGGCCATCAAAGGCTCAATTTCCCACTCAAAACACTGAATCAAAGCACCTAATGCATGCATGTCGCATAACACGTTTTGCCAAAACAGCTCCAGGGCAAGCTCTTCTTCCAATACCAAATGGGAATCATATATATTGTAAATTAAATCTCTCCAGGGCTAGTCTTATTCATTGCTTCTGGATGGTTGAGGGGAAGCGACAGTGCCCATTCCCTTGTGCTAGCTGAAGTTTCAGACCCAGCTACAAGCATTGCCTGCATAATTTTTTTTACAGCTGGTAGTGTTAGATTATGTACTAATTAACAAAGTATTTAATGGATCAGAGTCTTTTGATTAATAATTACGATGAGAGATATTATTAATTATATGAATCTATCAAGCATACGTGGATTAAATGACTATTAGTTAAAGGATCATTCTTTACTTTTAGTAAAATTTGAGGTGGTGGAGTAAGAATTTATCACTATATAAGATGTATTTTTTGCACTAGTATACGTTTTCTTATGATTTATAGCTTTTTTTTTGGTAATCAGATTTATAGCTTTAATTAGCCTTATTTACATGTCATGCTTTGAACAAAAATCCTTATTGTGCCAAAAGAAATAATTTTGATTTTGATTTTAATTAATAAATATTATTACGAACTAATAAGAAAATTTAAATGTGTGATTTATTCAGTAAACTAAACTACAGAGCACTTCTTGGTCCCGGAGCTAGCTAGAGAAGAAATTTAATAACTCTAGTTATACATCAACTAAATGTTTTGTCTACTAAAAAATATGTTCGTATATATATATATATATGGGGAGAGATCTTTTGACTCTAGAGTAAGACTTACAACTCTTACTCTCCATCTCAACCGTTGATTTTCGTCCATCTAACGGTTATCTATACCAATTAATTAATTATTAATTTCAAATAAATGATAACCGTTAGATGGACGGAAATCAACGGTTTAGATGAAGAGTAAGAGTTGTAAATTGTACTCTGGAGTCAAAAGATCCCTTCCCTATATATATATATATATGGGCAAAAAAATTAATTTATTATTTTTTTAATAAAAAATTACGAATAAGTAATCGTTTTGTTAAAAAATACAAATCTATAGCACCCAAACACCCCACATGGGGCGTGTTCTCATAGAGAGAGACACGCCCCATGTGGGGCGTGATCAGCTGAAGGAGACACGCCCAAGGTAGGGCGTGTTCTCCGCGGTGTATATATATGTGATTTTCACTTTTTAACCTCATTTCCACCCTCCCATCCTCTCTCTAAACCTCCTCCTCCTCCTTCTCTCTCTATACATTTCTTTTGGAGGATTTTGCGCAGCGAAGCTCTGTCTCTCTCTCATGTAAGTCCCTATTTATTGTTTATTTTTGTTATTAACAGCAATTAATATATGATAGTTATTAGCGACTTAGATAATTGTTAGGGGGTTAGAAAAATATTTGTGACTTTATTTAATTATAATGTGGTTAGAAAAATATTAATGACTTATGTAAGAGAATTGTGATGTGACTTATGTATTAGATATGGACTTAAAAATTAATTAGTTACTTCTAAATTGGTATATGTTGGTTTTATGACTTATTGACACACTTAGAAATTAGTTTGTGACTATAAATATTTTTTTATGAATGACACTTGCAAACATATTGACCTTTCAATTAACCACATTATATGCAGGGCTTGTAAAAAAAGAATACCGTATTTAATAATAATTTAAATTGAATTTGATTTATTTAATGTATTGAAATATATTTTTAGAATAATGTAATGTTAAATGAATTAATTGTCAATGATGTTAATTTAATTGAAATTAATATAACAATTGAAGTTAGTTAAATGCTATTTAATTAAGTGCAATTAAGTTTTATTTAGTGTAAATTAATATAATATCAATAGTAATTTGGGTACATCTTTTTCATTTGTAGTAGTATTCTATTATGGCTCATTCGTCTTCATCAGAGTCCTCGCGCTCTGGATCCGATGGTGATCTTGAGCCATCCGATCCTTGTACGCATGTACTTCCTGGACCATATAGGTGGGAGGTACTCCGTAAGAGGACACGGTGCAGTCACGTTTCACAAGTTGTGTGGAACGAGGATACGGTCAGGGGGTTAAAGACGAGGCGAGGGAAACTTCAGGGGGGACCCCATCATGATGATATATCAGACGTTGTCGCTGACTATTTGACACAGGCTGGGTTCATACACGTGGCACATATGAGTCATATTCAGGTATGTAATTTTTAAATTACTTAATTAAATTACCGTATGTGGACTTTGTATAATTGTTGTTTTTCTTTCAGATCGATACCCCCTTGATCTCTGCTTTGGTTGAGCGTTGGAGACCGAAAACACATACGTTTCACATGACGCAGGGAGAGATGACCGTTACATTACAGGACGTGGCTGGTATACTTGGTTTGCCTACTGACGGGCAGGCAGTTACCAGATCTACAGCGTTGGATTGGATTGCTATGTGTCAGCAGGTTTTTGGGACTTCCCCTGTTGCTGGCACAGACATTCACGGAGGCGATCTACGTATTTCTTACTTAGACAATATATATGTTGATTGGTTTACAGTAGCACACAATCCTGAGGAGGTGAGGCGTTACACCAAGGCACACATTTTGCGGCTATTAGGCTCATGGTTAGTGTGTGACAGATCAGGTGGCAGCAAAATTGCTTGTCGTTATGTTCCACTGCTTGCAGGGGACTTTACGGACATTGGCGGATACAGTTGGGGGTCTGCGGTTCTCGCCCATCTCTTTAGACATTTATGTGTGGCAACAAACCCGCGGACTGTTAATCTGGGTGGTTGTCACGTATTACTGCAGATATGGGCTTGGATTAGATTCCCCCCATTGCACCACCTATCCCGCAGCTACCCACCCGGAGTGGCATTTTGGTCATAGGTATATTTTATTAACTCATATTGACTAATTTATTACATGTTCATTTGCCGAATGAGTATGATACTTTGTTACACATTCTATTACAGGTTTAATTCCCTATCTCCTTTTAAGCCACATGAGCAGTCTTGGTATCGGGCAAACCTTGACACGCTTTATAGAGACGAGGTTTGTGATATCTATTTAGTAATTGTTTTTAATTTATTTACATATTATAGTTGGTGGTAATTGTGTACTTGTTACTAATTTTTTTATATGTAGGTTGTGTGGCAGCCATACGGAGAGTACCTTACAGCATTGTTTGTATCTGATCATGAGCGGTACTTATGGTTGGCCATTACTCCTATCATTTTCTTCCACACAGTTGAGTATGCTCAACCAGATAGATGTATGCGATAATTTGGTTTTGATCAGCCCATACCGCGGAGACCAAGAAAGCTTAAGGGTGTTCATGATCTAAATCTGCGAGGGAAGAAGGATGATAATTGGGAGCGTAAGATTAGGCCCTTTATACATCGATGGACGATCAAGGATACGTCCATATGTGTTCCCCCTGTACTGGTCGGGTTGATGTCCCCGAACCATGAGTACCTACACTGGTACAGACAGCGAGGGAAACGGTTTGTCGCCAGGAAAACTGCCAGGGTTGGACGAGCAGTAAGTTTTGACACTTCAATTATGAATATGATTATGTCAAAACCATTTTTAATTAACACATGTTGTTTGCCATATTTATAGATTGATGGGTTGGAGATGCTATATTTTGCGACTACTGCGGATCAGTTCCTCGCCTTTGGCTTAGAGTGGGTACATGACGAGATTGGTCACATTATTGCCATATTCAGAGAGTCGGCACGAGTAGAGGAGCCAGGGCCAGAGCCTCCATCTACGCAGACTGTTGAGGAGCCGATGTTGACCATTGAGGTGCCTAGTGGCAGGCAGGAGGGACGTGGACTAGGACAACAGCGGCAATCGGTTTGAGCGATACCCGATCCTATTATTGCTCCTAGACCGCGCACTGATATGCAGGGTTGGTTTAGACCGCCAGGGCTGAGCCAAGCAGGCGGGCCACAGCCTATGTACCATGGTCCCCCTCCGCCGCAGTATTATGATAGCCAGGCAGGTACATCGTATGGCCAGGGGTTTACACAGAGTGAGCAGGTTTATCCGGCTAGCCCCATGGCATGCGCATCTGGTGGGGTACCGTTTCTCAGGATCCTTCATGTGGTACAGAGTACCATGAGTGGAATATGGAAGACGTAACGGAGTGGTGCCAGACCTTGAACTTGACCACAGACGGAGTAGGCGATTGACCTACACATGTACCCGTTGCTCTTCCATCTTCACATCATGTGCCCGATGACCCTTTCTCATCGACTTCGCCGCACATGCAGCCAGTTACTGCACAACATGATTTTATACCATCTGCGAGCAGTGGATATGTTGCATCAGGACCATCTGCGAGCACTACTCCACTAGCTCATGTTCCAGAGACGGTTGACGACGAGGAGCCGTGTCTTGACGCATTTGCACAGGCTATACAGGCTCAGTCTAGGCGTCGATTACCCCCACGTCAGGCACGTGATAGGCCATGGCCTCGTTGGTCGTAGTTTTATTTCATGTTTTTGTTTAGTTATATGGAATGATGTATTGACTATTTTTTTGGGACTGTTGTAATTGTGTACTGTGCTCTCGCTGACTATTGTGGACTGTTTACTGTGTTATCGCTGACTATTGTGTACTGTGCTATCGCTGACTATTGTGGACTTTTTTGAGTATTTCTATTAGCATGGAAGGAGTAAACAAAAAAAATTTATGTATGCGATGTTATATGTTATATGCAAGTAAACCACACAATCACCATAAAAGCTAAATTTAAAAAAACAGAGCGATACATTTTAATTGCCAAAATAATTGTTCATAAGGGACAAACACCCACAAGTCATATCATGCATTATTTTCACGGTTAGGACACGACCTACGATTGTGCCCGTGTTGCTTACAAAGACCACATAACATGCGTGATGTAATAGTTTCAACCTCATCTATCTTGTTCCGTATTCTTGTAGACTTTGGACGACCTTTTGCCCGCAACATATTTTTATCTGGTATTACCACAGGACCTGCATTGGGTGGAATTGCTTGCTCATTGCCGATTGGTTGCCATGGAAATGAGTACGCCTTTACCAAGTTTGACGTCTTGAAAACATCATCTATATATTGTCGATAATTTCGACGAATGGATAACGCTGCAGCAACGGCGTGACTACAAGGATATTTAAATGCTTTAAATTGTCCACATTGGCATGTACGAGCAGTAAGGTTGACAGCATATGTCCTTTCAAACCCTGCATCCACCTCAAAAACAGTTTCATCAACATTATATGTACGCACAGTATGCATTATTGCCACGGATTCATTATGTGTCAATGATTCAATCACATTTTTGCAATAAGTATGACCAGATTCAAGTTGTCTACAAGCCGATTGACCTCTTTCCACGCAATATTGAACCAATCTACTGTATGTAAATTTTACCAGACCAGTAATGGGCATGTTTCTTGCTCCCTTTAACACCCTGTTTATGGATTCTACCAAGTTTGTTGTCATATGCCCAAATCTTCGTTCATCAAGGTCATGTGCACGCGACCACTTTTCCTTAGGGATGGCATCAATCCATTCCGCTACCTGCCTGCTTGTGTCACGAAATCGTGCTAGCGACCTCTCAAAATCCACCATGCAAGGAGTATATCCTGCGAACAATTTAAAAAACACACAGTTCACGCTTAACGAAAAACTACAACATTTTAATTCACCAATCATAATGTGCAACATACCTATATTCATCAGGCTAGCCTTCAGTTTGTCATTTCTAAATCGTTGATTAAAATTGCTTGCAACATGTCGCAGGCAAAACACATGAAATGCATGGGGTGGCTGCCATAGGGGATTATTTTCAACAGCCGATTGACACGAGCTGTCGAACTCGCGCAAATTAAAAATTAATTCTTTAGGGTTTAGAAAATTTGTAGTAAAGTGGAAATCCTAAGTCGTCTCTCAAGGAAATTGTTTTGGTAAAAATCGCTTAGGACGACAGAAAATTAAAAGGGGGTTTTGGAATTTTGGTTGAATAATTAAAAAGGCAGAATATTAAATTGGATTTAAAATTCGTAATTAAAAATAACCAACCTAAGGTTTGGGTTCCATGGACGTCTTTCCTCGGATAAGAAGATATCAGAATCGTGATTGATTTGTCAATCGAATCAGAATCCTTATTTCCAATTGACAACCCTCTCTAAGCGATCGCTTAGCATTTGATCAAAGACGATGCTTCTACTCATACAATCGCAGAGTATCAGCCCGCTTGATTTAAGGTCACAGGGTCAATCAACCTAATCATCAAATCTGATGATTAATCCCTTTCCATAATCGCAATCGCGAACCTCAGATTGAATATCCACGATCGCACGATATCAATCTGAGTTGGGAGGGGAAACAAAACTGATTTGAAATAAACGCAGATCCTCAAGACTAATCCATGGAATCCATTACCCTTAGGTTGATTAAAAGGTTCTTAGCCTCGCATGGCTAAGGTAAACATAATTGAAATAAAAAGATGAAGAATAAGAAAAAGATGAAGAACACAATTGAATAAAAACTCAGAGAGAACTTCTCTGTTGTAAAAACTGCCTCTCAAGGGTTTCCTAGAGTCCCCTTTAAATAGCCGTCACGCAGGACGGCTAGGGTTTCATCGCTTCGGCCCAAAGATAAATAAAAGCTAAATAAAAAATAAAACAATAAAATAAAACATGGCCTTGGGCCCTAAACACATTGGGTCCTAATGTGAATTACAAGTCCAAACGTCAAAATAAAATTCCAGCAAAACACGTCATCTTGAGATCAAGTTTCGACCATCTTACCGTTCGAATTGGGCTTCAGTAGCTGAAATAGCGATTGTAGCCCTATCTGTTAGCTGCAAAAAGCAATAAGAACAGAGTCAATCGAACATCTGTAGAGTGAGATATGGTCAAAATACGGAAGTAGTGTAAATCTGGAAAATTATGACGAAAATCAATTAAACCCAACTAAAATCTAGAATAGTGAATTGACCCAAAAGACCTTTATTTAATTCAAATAAATCATAAAAATACCAACCAAGAGTGATAAATAAGTGTAACAAAATATGAGTTATCACCGATAATATGCTAACTTGCCGGTATGAAATTAGACATATATTCTGCGCTTGTGTGACATGCTGACGAAGATTGGCAAGAAAGTACGACCAAGCCTCCAATGTCTCACCCTCAACAACGGCAGATGCAAGTGGCACACATTCATTATTACCATCTTGAGCTGTGGCAATCAACAACTTTCCCTTATATTTTCTGTATAGATGAGTGCCATCAATTTGTATCATTGGTTTGCAAAATTTAAATGCCTCACAACATTGTCTGAAAGTCCAGAAACAACGAACAAATACACGTTTTCCGGGAACCAACTGCCCCGCAACAAAACAATCCTGTGTTTGAATATTGTAAAAGGAACCTGGTGAAAAACGAAGCATATATTCACACCAGCTGGGTAAAAATGCATAGGATTCCTTCCAATCACCATATAACATTGCCATTGCTTTCTGCTTCGCATACCATGCCTTTCCATATGAAACTTTGAATCCATATGAATGAGTTATCCTCTCCTGAACGAGCGAAATGGCCACTGAAGGTTCCTTTTGTATCATCTCTGAATTACAAAAGGTGGATATAAACATTAACAGAACAACAGGTATATCAACTACAATTTTAATCAGCTTTTTGATTTGAAATTACGTACCTACTACAAGTGCTGCAATAACGTCAGAATCAAGTTGTCGATGATCTTGAGAAAGATGGTCATTCAAGCAATTGTGCTTCCCACCCCATTTCGTTACCTTCCAATTTTCACCATACGTTGGTTTAATTACCCTGATCCTCCACGGGCAACCTTGGATGTGTGCACAACATTTCATGCTTAATTTTGTGGGAGTGCTCTCAAACATAATTGCTTCTTGATGCTCCTTCATGAGGTAGCGCTTGATTGCCATCTGAGCCTCTTTTTTGGATGTAAATTGTTGGTTAACAAACAACTTTTCTCCCAATTGTCAAGGACCCTAGATTGAACCCGAACTCTGAGTCCATGATTGTGCCTCACTCGGATAATCCCAATCAATATATGTGTAATGTGGAATTTTTGACCAAAAAGGATCAACAGGTGCATCGCCTACATGTACTACGTAATAATAATAATAGAATTGAATTATTTTCTTAATCAAAAATTGCAACAACCAAACTGTCCGTATATTAATTGATAGCATACCTTCAGGATGTTCTGGTACTTGACTCGATGTTGTGTCATGATGTACAACGATACGAGACTCCCCCAAATCATGCCATGGTTGAAGTTCAGTACTAGACCTGCCACATTCTTCGTCATTGTCCGATGCACTCGCATCCTCTGCAAGAAGGCGATCCTCCATTGCAATATTTTCCTCATCATCTTCGTCATACTCCTCATCCATAACCCAAGTAGGGTCATGTTCATCTTCCTCAGACATGTTAACAGCAGCAGCAGCAGATGAGGATGCATTAAGAGGAGAAGTAGACCTAACTGACCTCATTGGTATAACAACTTCCTCCGCGGTGGTAGTATCCACATACAACTCTAAGAAATCATTTCTAGACTGGTTCAAGAACTCTTCCATTACCATATCGATGTCTTCGTCATCGACCACTTGCAAGCTAATGTATTGTTCACATTGCCATAATCTTGCCGTGACTAGAGTGATCAATTGGTTGTCTTGAAGACATAATTTTTGACGTATTTTCTGATGCAGCTCAGCAACCGTTGAGTTTCGTTTAATGCGTGATGGCATTTTCTCCCCTACAAAAATAACACCACGACGACCTTCTTCTTTCCTACCGTTAAAATATAGAACAACGCGAATAGTATCAGAATTCGCACTCATTTTTAAAATCAAAATTTATAAAGATAAAACAAAATATGAGTAAACAAGTGCAACAAACTATCAGAGAGTTTAAGCATAACAATGAGAGAGTTGTGAAGAGTGTGTAGGGGGTGGGTGTTTAAATAGACAACAGTTTAGTCACTCACGCCCAGATTGGGCGTGACCTTCCAGTGGAACACGCCTATGTTGGGCGTGTGTACCACACTGAACACGCCTTACCTTGGGCGTGTCTCTCTTCTGACATACACGCCCTACCTTGGGCGTGTCTCATTCAGCTGATCACGCCCCACATGGGGCGTGTCTCTCTCTATGAGAACACGCCCCATGTGGACGTGTTTGGGTGCTATAAATTTGTAATTTTTTACAAAACGACTATTTATTCGTAATTTTTTATTAAAAAAATAATAAATTAATTTTTTTGGCTATATATATGGATACTTAAAAGATGCAAATTAAATAAGAAATATTTTGCGACTTCTTCTATGTACAATTATACACTATAGTAAGTGACTTGTAAGTTTGGATGGATTCCTTAAAAAAATATTTTTTATGTTTTACTTATTTTAAAAGTTTTTTTTATAAAATTTAAATTTATTTAGATTTTTTTAAAATTATTTGGTTTTTGATTTTTATTTTTTTTAAAAGTTAAATTTCAAAGACAGATTTTTAATTTTTTTGTACTTTTGCTCTTATACAAACAAACTTTAAAAGAAGATTTTTTTCTAAACGAAAAACCAACTTTTGGAAAAAAAAAAAAAAAAAAAAAAAAACCTATACAAACACGCCTACGTGGTCTAGACAAAATTAACCCGGGTCTATGATCAACAAGTCAAGCATATACGGTGCTTTCTGACAGCAGATTCCACTTAAATGAAGACAAATCGATTTGATGTTTTGTTTGCTTTCGTTGCTTCCTACGTTGATAATGTAGTGAGAGCCATGCAAATATAATTGAATAACATAGAAGTTTGGCACTGATTGCAACCACATGACTAAAAAAGAAGCAACAGTAGCACGTCAAAGTCAATATTAATTAATGTGAGAATTTTTTATTTTTTGTCTTACTTTTGTCAATATTATGATGGAATTGTTGATTATCTAGTGAGGGAATAAAACTTCAGTGTATAATTGATGTACCGTAGTTCAGTGTATTTATAATTTATTTTTATTAAGATATATAGGCAAATTTTATGCAAAATTTTAGGATCCCAGAATTTGCCTACCTATGTATCCTCATAAAAATAAATTAGGAATATACTAAATTAAGTGCATTTTTTCTTACTGACAAGTCGCTACCTATGGAACATTCCTATCTAACTATATAACATTAATCACTAACACACAATAGAATGAGAGAGGAACCTTTGGGCCTTCCTCTTCTTGCAGTGAATTGCATGTTCTGCATTCTCTTCTACTCCAATCACCGGAACCATGCCCCCAAACACACACCTCGTTCCCCCCGTTTGCTTCTCCATTCTACAGGGTGAGCTACTTTAGTTATACACCAAGACCGACAATTGATAGAGGTCATTTTCTTCATATCACAGATTTTATCCCAATTCATACAGTAATTAACCTTCATTCTCTCATCTTGATTTGAACATCCACCTCATCTACTACTCTGGTACAATATCTTATAAGTACTAAGACAGTTACAGTTTGAAAGCCTCCCTAAGCCAACAAGCACAGCTAGTACAATATACGTGAGGAAATATGTGCATTAATTCTATATAGCCATGACCTGATATATAAATGGATTTTATAATTCTCATATAATATGATAATTGAAATTTTTCTACATAACCTTCGAGATTTTCATGCTGACGTGAGTCTTGCATATGATTTTTTTTCTAATATATAAGTCTCACATGTTTTTTGTCTCTATGACATAAAATTTCAATTATCATGTAATTAATAATAGAATTATAAAACCTTATATAATTAGCCATTTTCTTTCAAAATGCTTTATTTGCATAAAATATATTGTAATAATTAGGCCCTAAGCCAACAGTAAACACTGTCCCCACACATGATAAAATATACCGACCGTTTCTAAGTACATTTAACGACTTATTTTATAAGTGACAATAATATTGTTGCTAAATCCTCTTCTTCTTTTTTGAAATATTTCAATTAGTTTATTGTTTTGTAACTAGTTCGATTCGATGTGGGTTCTGTGATTAAGTCTTTAAATCTCTTCCAAAGATAGTACTAGAGATGATCAAATAAATATATATTCTCACTCCACCTACTCAGTTTTCACGCGTAAACTACACTATCATTATTTGGTTTGTTGCTAAATACTCTAGTTGTATACAATACATCATAATAATTCCAAGCATTTACAACATTATATCATTGTTTTGGTCTTCGCATAAACAAGCATAATTATATTACAATGTGAACAATATAATATCTCAAACTTTATGGAAGTTAATTACCAAACATCGGGAAATACGGCCTATGCATGGAGTTGGGTCGACATGGCCCCTTTAACCTCCTCCTTACAATTTTAATTTATTGTTCCTTAAATTCTTATTCTACTTGCACTCTGTAATTGATATAAAAGTGCACACTTTGTTTACCAAAAAAAAAAAAAAAAGTGCACACTTTATATGTTCGACAGAACCTTGATCATGCCTTGGCGTGGCCTGCATACGGCCACCAAGGGCTCAACTTTGGGCATGGTAAGCCCTACACCTTCCATCATGTTGATTTCTTGATCCCCAATTCTTTCCCACTCAAAACACTGAATCAAGGCACCTAATGCATGCCCCATAACACGTTTTGCCAAAGGAGCTCCAGGGCAAGCTCTCCTTCCAATACCAAATGGAATCATATTGTAAAGTACATCAGAACCTTCCCCTCTCTCAAATCTCTCTGGCTCAAACCTTGTTGGTTCAACCCACCACTCAGCGTCCCTGTGCAGGGTCCATAGATTAACAAATAGCATTGTCCCTTCTGGTATATCAAAACCACAAACCTTGCAATCTTTAGAGGACTCATGGGGTATCATGAGTGGAGCCACAGGGTAGAGGCGCATTGTCTCGGTAATTACATTTTGCAGGTATTTGAGTTTTGCAGTATCTAGTTCGTTCAACAGATGATGTTGTCCCACATAAGTGTCTATCTCAAACCTAGTCTTTTTCATTGCATCTGGATTGTTGAGGAGAAGCGACAGTGACCATTCCATGGTAATAGCCGATGTTTCAGACCCAGCTACAAGCATTGCCTGCATAATTTTTTGATTATGTACTAATTAAGAAAGTATTTAAATGGCTCAGAGTCTTTTGATTAAGAATTACGATGAGAAGAGATATTATTAATTATATGAATCAATCAAGCATACGTGGATTAAATTACATCTCAAATGGCTATTAGTTAAAGACTTTTTTACTATTCATTTAATACTTGTTTAATTTAACGGGAAAAATAAAGTATTATATATTAAGAGATAAAAAGACGTGAGAATAACTGAAGGTGTACTCTTGTCTCCATCTTGCATCTATCTCTCTCTCTCTCTCTATATATATATATATATATATATACATCGCAAAATGATTTCTGCAGCCGCTACACCTACAATTAGCCAGGATCCGCGTGGGGATCTTAGGATACGGTACCGGATCCTTGTTTTTTTTATTTTTATTAAAACACCGTGGAGCCCATTTTTTCTGTGTGTAGAGAGTGTTATTTATGGTGGCTGCAGAAATGATAAGCCCTATATATATATATATATATATATATATATATATATATATATATATGCAGGATCATTTGACACCTCATCTATGAGCCGTTAGATCAAAAAAGATCAACGACTCTGATTTGTAAGCATGTGACACCATTGATCTTTTTTTATCGAATGACTCTTAAATGAGGTGTCAAAGGATCCTACCTCATATATATATATATATATATATATATATATATATATATATATATATATCGGCAACCGAGTCTGCCGCCATGAATTAAATTCAAAACCATTTTGCCTGCTTTTTGTCTTGACTACTAGACGTACACCCAGCTATTAATTAAAGGGTTCTATTTTTCTCATGTTGTAGGAGATAAGTATCTCCTATTATAGATACATAATATGGTGAAACCCACCATCCATTAAAAAAGAAAAAAAAAATAATGTCATAACTTTTTATGTGAGAGAAACATGAGATAGTTATCTCATGTAAAATGAGACAATGATTTCCCTTAATTAAAAAGCTTAACCTAAACTTGAAACTATTATATATGTCAGCTGTGCTTTTTTTTTTGTTTAAGTAAAGAAAAGTTTAAATGGGGTTTGAACCCATGATCTTACGGAATATGAATCAAATTCTTAGTCAATTGTGTCCATTAATTTTGTTGGCAGCTGTGCTTAGTTTATGCATGTAGATGGTAATCGATTAGTACATGTCAATTTAAATAATATATGATTATAATGTATCCTATATTTAACCAAAACAAAAATCCTTGATGTGCCGAAAGAAAATAATTTTGATTTACATTTTAATACATACTATTACGAACTAATAAGAAACAATTTAAATGTGTGATTCATTCAGTGTAAAGAATCTTGGGATACATCACCCCAAAAGCTAGCTCAAAGGGTGAGAGTGTCCAAGGCCTTATAAACTCCACATTAGTTGCACATCTAACCAATGTGGGACTATATATTTCAACACGCCCCCTCACACAAGAGTCCTTTGGGACTGAAGCGTGGATTATGCACAGGCTCAATTTTTGATTTACTTTTTTATGCTGTGCTTTTTGTTTTAATTCCACTTTAAAGTGGAGGACAGTGAGGCTCTGATACCATGTAAAGAACCTTGGATACACCACACCAAAAACTAGCTCAAAGGGTGGGAGTGTCCAAGGCCTTATAAACTCCACATTAATTGCACATTTAATCAATGTGAGACTATATATCTCAAGATTCAGTAAACTAAACTACAGAGCACGTCTACAACCAAAAGCTAGAGAGGGAATTTAACAATAACTCTAGTTAAACAGCAACTAAATATTTTCTCTACTAAAAAATATGATAATATGAATATATATAGGGATACTTAAAAGATGCAGATAAGGATTTTGCTACTTCTTCTATTTACCATTATAAACTATGGGTTTATCATCTATCATTTAACATGACCACAAAAATTTTCCTACACACACAACATTTTGTGGGGCCCGCAGCAAAAAAAAAAAAAAACTTCGGCACGCAAAACGAATCTCTATAACATAACACAATCACTTTTCCTACAACATAACTCTTATAAAACCCATAAACTATAGTGTAAGTTTGTTTTAATCCTAACTAAATGCTATGTGGTCTATGTACGTTAACCAACAAGTCAAGCTCAAGCATATATGCTGCTTTCTGACAGCATATTCCACTTAAATGAAGACAAATCGATTTGGTGAGAGCACATGCAAATATAATTGAATAAAATAGAAGTTTTGCACTGATAGCAACCACATGACTAAAAAAATGAATAGCCATGTTGACTAAAAATATAATTGAATAAAAGATTCCCCCATTATTTGAATAATTAATGTGGGAATCTTTTAATTTTTTTGTCTTATATTTTGTAGGGAAAACTTTATTTTCATCCATGGTGGTTTTATGATTTATCATTTGACTCCTAATGATTTTAAACTTATCACTTAGACTCATTGTGTTGAAATAATTTATCATTTAATCTCCTATGGTTTCAAATTTTCACTTAGACCTTTTGTGGTTTAAAAAATAAATATTTAAAATAATTGTTCTCTCTTTTTTATCTTATATCCTCATGTAATGCATTAAGGGTTTAAAAGATATTTCAAAATTTTTATTCTGAAATTAATTTATAAATTATCTTAATTTTTTTTATTTTAAAAATATATTTGAAATTAAAAAATATTATATAAGATAAATTAAATATGTATTATCAAAATAATATATTTACTTTCTTTAGATAATTTTATAACGATATCGGGTAAAAAATAGATAAAATAAAATAATATTTGAATTGAATTTATTTTCTTGATAAAAATAAGTGAACTTTTTCAAAAAAAAATTTAAAACCCTCGGCATGTTTGGAGCACCTGATAAGGAAGATATGATAAGATAATTTATCATATCCTCCTTTTATCTCTTGTTTGGTGGGTCAATAGGATATGATTAGCTTATCCTATTAACTCATTTTATCCTATCCAATACATGATTTCTTATCCTATGGTGGGAGCTGGGTTAGGATTCAACATGATATGATACAATATTGGATACCCAATAGATCCCCACGCTACCCAATATATCCTCACGCTATCCAATATATCCTCACGCTACCCAATGTATTTGTATTTATTGGATTATATTTTATTTTTTCTTTCTCCTTTCACCTTCTACATAATCTTATCAGATTGTTAACTAGATACTTATTAAACACAGGACATGATATAAGCTTATCAGCCTCATATTCTATCCGACCCTTATCAACCCCATATCATATCTTATCCTTATCCTATTCTGTCCACCAAACGAGTCCTAAATGCATTAGGTGAGGCTATAAAATAAAAATGAGGGAACATTTATTTTAAATATTTATCTTTGTAACCACAAGGAATTTAAGTGAAAAAAAATTTAACCGCAAGGAGTCTAAGTGAATATTTGAAACCAAGAGGGATTAAATAATAAATTGTTTAAGCACAATAAATCTAAGTGATAAGTTTAAAATTATGTAGAGTGATCAAATGAAAAATCACAAAACTACAATGGATTAAAATAAAATTTTCCCTATTTTGTAAAAGAATAGTCATTATCTCTTTGGCCTATTGGGGAATTATCATCTTTAACAGTTGGAAAAGGTTGAATTTTCTCACCAGAATAAGAGCTTTGATAGTTTCTTCCGTGTAGAATTGTGGGTCATCTCGTTGCAGGTCCAACATAAGATCAATAATCGTCATGTTCCTTTGTTCCTTTGTTGAACTCACGCGCCTGTTTCTGCGATGCTCCTCAATGAGGTTCTGAAGGAAGATGTCCATCTTGTTCATCACCTTCACCATCTTCTTTTTGATACCTTGGAAATCAACCCATTGAAGTATTGTTAAGAAGTCATTTAAATTTCCACTTCCCACAAGCTCTACGTACTCCTTCATAAGACTCTGGAATTCCTTCCCTTCTTGTGCAATAACATCATCACCATAGTACCGTTTCCCTGAGAGCATCCTTAACATGATATTGAAAGAAAGCTCTACAAGTTTGTCTCTGAGGTTTACCTTTGAAGTTTGTGATCCTTTGCATTCTTTAAACAGTTGTTTCACCAACAACTGTATCTCTTCCTCTCGAACTCTTGCGAACATACCAAGGCGATTGTTTGAGAAAAGCTCAATGGTTGTTAGACGCCGGAGGTTGCGCCAATAGTCGCCATAGGAAGCAAACCCCACTGTCTTACCATCGTAGTTGAGGTATTTCCCAGCGAGTGTTTGGGGACGGTTTGCAAATGTTATATCATTCTTTGTTAAACATTCTTCTACTGCTGAAGGTGAGGATACAACAAGGACTTTGCGTGTTCCAAGTTTGAGAAATATTATGTGACCATATTTTTCTTTGAGCTTTTCTAAACTTCGGTGGAGAGGTTCTTTTATGAGATGGAGATGGCCTATGAGTGGTAAAGCAGGTGGGCTAGGTGGTAGGTTTCTATGCTTGGCTTTTCTCTTTAGTAGTACATATTTAGAGAGAAAGAGAAACAAGATGAGAAAAATTGAAGTTGGTGTCAGCCACCCAGCACCTTCTTCCATTGGAATATCGTAGGATGGACTGTGTTTGCAATTTGTGCCTGGTATATAAGACTATATATATTGGTTTTGTTACATGATTGAGATTAAAATAATAAATGGGTTGGTGTAGATTAAGGTTATATAATGCATCACGAGGTCGTCTCATTTTGTAAAGAACTTTGGGATACACCACTTCAAAAGTTAGCTCAAAGAGTGGGAGTGCCCAAGGCCTTATAAAGGCCACATTAATTGCACATACAAACCAATGTGGGACTATATATCTCAACACGTTCCCTCACACGAGAGCCCATTGGGCTAGAAGCGTGGATATTACACAGGCCTAATTTTGGTTTACCTTTTTGTGCTTTTTTTATTTTAATTCCACTTTAAAGTGGGAGGCGGTGAGGGCTCTGATACCATGTAAAGAATCTTGAGATACACCACCCCAAAAGCTAGCTCAAAGGGTGGGAGTGTCCAAGACCTTATAAAGGCCACGTTAGTTGTCCACACAATCAATATGAGACTATATATCTCAACACATTTAATGAATATTGCACAGCTTTATTTTATCTTGTGTCAATTTATAATTTGAAAAGAAAGAGCGAACAAAATCGAACTCGTGATCGGTGGTCACCAAAGAGCATGATAAAAAATTATCTCATCTAAGAGCTTAAACTATTGAATAAAAGTTTTACTAAAAATTTTATATTATATCTCTATAACTTAATAACCACTACTAAACAAGAAAGAAGAGAAGGTAGGTTTAGTTCGTGTGCTGCATTATAAAAACAAAACAACCAGAGTGGAAGCATTGGGAAGGAATCAAATAACTAGATAACATTTATATGCCACTTCAGTAGGCAGAAAGGAAAACTAATGTTAAATGAACATTGTCCTTTTTTTTTAAAAAAACAAAGGAAAGAAAATTAACAGCTAACTAATCTGGGGGTGGAAACACCCATAGAATAACGAAGAACAAGGGGGCTACACCCCGAAGGGGGAGTCTCGAAGATGACCGTATTGTCCTTTAGTTGTATAGGAATGCTACTCTCGTTTCACATGAGAGTAGTTCTCTCATGTTATAGAGACAAGCCACATGGGACCCACCATTAAAGAATAAAAAAGTAAAAGAGTGGGTGGAATTTTCAAAATAGTATTTTCCTACAATATATTATAATAATTCCAAAAATTCACAACATAATTTTTTTCCTCTTTGCATAAAGAAACATAAGTATACATATATTACAATGCCAACAATATAATATCTCAAACTTTATGTAAGATAATTACCAAACATCGAGGGACATACGTTATGCATTTGGAATTGTGTTACGGCCTCTTATTCTACTTGCGCTCTGTAATTAATATAAAGTGCACTCTTATATATTCGACAGAACCTTGATCATGCTTTGGCGTGGCCTGCATAAAGCCACCAAAGGCTCAATTTTGGGCATGGTAAGCCCTACACCCTCCATCATGTTGATTTCTTGATCCCCAATTCTTTCCCACTCAAAACACTGAATCAAGGCTCCTAATGCATGTCCCATAACACGTTTTGCCAAAGCAGCTCCAGGGCAAGCTCTCCTTCCAATACCAAATGGAATCATATTGTAAAGTACATCACAACCTTGCCCTCCCTCAAATCTCTCTGGCTCAAACCTTGTTGGTTCTGCCCACCACTCAGGGTCCCTGTGCAGGGTCCATAGATTAACAAGTAGCATTGTCCCTGCTGGTATATCAAAACCACAAACATTGCAATCTTTAGAGGACTCGTGGGGTATCAAGAGAGGAGCCACAGGGTAGAGACGCAGTGTCTCGGTAATTACATTTTGCAAGTATTTAAGTTTGGGAGTATCTAGTTCGTTCAACAGGTGATCTTGCCCCACGCAAGAGTCTATCTCAACAATTGTCTTATTCATTGCTTCTGGATGGTTGAGGAGAAGTGACTGTGCCCATTCCAAGGTAGTAGCCGAAGTTTCAGTTCCAGCAGCAAGCATTACCTGCATAATTTTATACAGAAAGAGTAAATAAGCAATTTTTTTTAAAAAATATATATATATCAAAACATTACCCGCACATTTTTTCAATGGAATTACGTAAGCACAAGATAGATAGAGCCAAAAAGTGAGTCTATGCAATAAGCACGCTTCAAGCTCAAAGGATTTTTATACAATCGCGGAGCCAGCATAGCATCCTAGCCAAGGCCAAAAAAATTTAGTTTGTGCTAAACCTAGCTATGTTTATTTCACCATGTCTAAAACGCGACTAATTTTTGAAAATCAACCTGCAAATTAGCTTCAGTGATTTAGCCATGTTTCAAAAGTGGTTAATTTTTAAAAATTAGCCAGGGCCAAGGCCCCACCCTACCCTAATGTGACTCCACCACTATTCTTATGTGAGAGAATATGTTAAAAAGATATAATATAAAAAATATTGATCTATATTAATACTTACAAACTTAAGCTTATGAGTTGACTTAATTTTTTATGTGATATTAGAGCTGTCATGGCTAAATGGTCATGAGTTCGACTCTCACCGTCCCTAATTTATTAATAAAAAAGTTAAGTATATATTGTGAACTTTATTAGCACAGGTAAGTGGACATCTATATTGTCCATCTTTCAAGTCCAATGGACTTTCATGTGAGATGTCGTGTTAAAAAATATAAAATCATTAATGTAGCCTCACTCAAAAACTTAAGTTTGTAAGTCAAAATCCATTAATGATTTTTATATTATATTTCTATAATGACACACCCTCTACTGCTATAACTCATTGAGATTGAAGAATATATCAGATCCAGCCTACTTGTGCTTTGAAACTCCACAATATTAATTATTTATGGGTTCATTTTTTCTGATGTTACTTTAGATAACTTTATCTAATGTTCATCAAAACGACGTCGTTTTGGGACGGAAATCATGGTATTTTTGTAATTTTAATTTATTTCAGGGTTATAATAGTCTTTATCACTCTAATTTTTAATTTTTCAACCCCAAAACGACGTTGTTTCGATGAACATTAGATAAAGTTATCTAAAGTAACATCGAAAACTTTTTCCCATTATTTATTAATTGAATGGGGGACGGTGAGGGTCGAACTCATGATCACTTGATCACAAAAGCTCTGATACATACTATATATAGAACCATTTCATCCAAAGTTAAGCTTTTGAGTGAAATAATTCTTTACACACTCTATTAATAAGTAGCTCTATTACACCCATTAAGGCTTTATTTTTATTTTTATAATGGTTACATTCTGATTTCCAACTCCAAAATGGTCCATGTGACTTTCTATTTTATTAACAGCAAAAATCCCTCAAACTTGCTTTTACAACTAACTCCTACCATATGAATTGACACATTCGATAAATATTTTTTTAAAGAATTTTATTACTATCATGTTAAATGAGATAATTTATTTCATGTTATAGAGATAAAACATGTGGACTCATTTTTTGTAAAAAAAAATAAAGGGACTCACCTTTTTATTTGTCTAGAAGAGGGAACATTTTCTCCAACAATATGAAAAAAAATGTTTTCTCTTTATTAAAACTTATTTCATATTTTCACTCAAACAAAAATAAAATAATATAAGTATAAAGTAATTTGTATATATAGTATTAATGCATTATATATATATATATGATATGTTACTCTTATGTGTGAGAATAAGAAATTTTATGTTTTTTTTAATCATTGATTCATTTGTATTCAATGACTCATAAGTTAAAAAATAAAAACATTAAATATAAATAGAATTAATAATCAACATTGAAAATATAACTTAATTATAAGGTTACAATTGACACATATAAAATGATGTTCACCTTACTTTATATATATATATATATATATATATATATATATATATATATATATATATATATATATATATATATATATATAGGGAAGATTATCTTTACAAATTTTTTGTTTACAAACTATACTATGTCTGACCGGTCAGACATAGTGTAGTTTGTAAGTTTATAAAAAAATTTTATAAATAGATGTTTTCCTCTTGTAACCACAAATTTTTTTTTTTGTCCAACTGACACATTAAAAGCTGCGCTTTGTTTTGTTTTATTTTTTGATTTTTTATATTGGTGGAGCCCATCAATTCATGTCTCTGCAGGAAACTTAGGCTTTTTCCTGTAACATGATGAACTGGTTACCATATATATAGGGATTAAAGTATTTGTTGTAACTTTATATAAGAATGTCTACTATTCAATTAAACGACACTGTTTTGGTCTTTTTTTTAAAAATCAAATTGCTTATAGTTCTCCTTGTTCGCGTGCCTTTTATGTTTTCGACTTCGTCTCTCACATTGATGTTTCTTTTTGCGCTTCCTTATTCAAGCCTAAGGTTTTTGTTTGAATCATCTCCATCTTCGTCTCTCTGTTACGTGAAATTATGTTCCTTTCTTATTAGACGAAGATGACAGGAGCGATAGCCAATGTAAAACTAAACAATATTAGGAATGAATGGATTAGAGAGAAAGCAAGAGTAGCATTTGTGAAGGAAAAGATGACAGAATCTCACATGAGATGATTTGGCTATACGAAAGAAGAAAGCGTTAATAATCTCACCTAAGATGATTCGTTTATGAAAGAAGAAACAGAAAAGGCAGGCGAATCACGTGGATGATAAGCAATTTATTTTATTTTTTTAAAAAGACCAAAACAATCATTTAATTGAACAACATTATTTTTATCTAAAGTTACAGCAAAACTTTAATCCCATATATATATATATATATATATATATATTCGATTAAATAAAACTTTTGTGAACTCATTTTAAAGATTCTCTTAGTATTTTGGTAGCTTTATAATTAGATCGTAGTTTTTTATAGCAAATTAATGCAATTAATTAAGCGATATGGTCTCTCTCTCTATGATCTTTCAATTCTTATACAAGATTAATAAGTCTCTCCATTTTTTAGGATTGGTTTCCATTAGAGCTGGCAAAACCGGCTTGGCTTGGCTAGCCAACCTGCCCCACCAGCTAAACGAG